AAACCCTAAAAACCCTAAACCCTAATAAACCCTAAACCCTAATAATAATGGGGCTTTAAATGGGGCTTTAATGGGGCTTTAAATGGGTTTCCATCTCTGCGGGTTATACACTATACTAATACAGACAACATATTATTATCTAAGAGTTAGATAGTGATTAGTAATACAGCAGGACACATCACACCCTAGTAAAATCCCATTGAATCCCAATAAAATCGTGATAAGAGTCATCAACTTTGACTAACCCGTTCACAACATAGAGAGTAGCTATCAAATTCAAACTTTGGAAACTTATAATTAAGTGGTTAAGTTACCTGCTATCAAATTTTCAGGTCTTTACAATCTGTAGTTCGCGAGGATACCGTACTCTAAAAATTAATTCTACCGCACTCCATGCTAAGACTTTTCTCCCATATAAACTACCCACACCCTAATTCCGCCGCATATGCGATCCCCCAACCCCAGTGGGTTAGGATACACCCTGGAAAACAGACTCATACTCTTCAATGATCTTTTAGTAGTCCTGGACGACGGAGACCTATACACCCGACTACTGGATGAAATCCACTGCTAACCGTCATTTGCTTACTCAAGCCAAATGAAGATGCTAGATCTTGTGAAATACTGATACTATTGGAATACCTGGAACTAAGATATATATTATTATCTAGATAACTATTTAATCTATAAGTAAAAAAATATAAGACGGGACCTTCTCCTGGGACTCCTATAATCTCTACCAATCTTAGACCGTCTGGGACAGTATTTATTAATAAACTTTTAGATATTTTTAAAAGACCGCTATGGCTTTAACACTATATTTATTATTATAGACTAGCTGAGTAAGTAAGTTACTTTAATATTATATATAAAAACTATATCTATACAAAATATAGCCCAGCTCTTCCTGGAGCGCGTATACCCTTAGTTAAGATCTCTAAATATGATTATATCAGATTAAGAAAGATAATTTATATCAGAATTTTGGGATAAGTTATATTATATATTATAGATAAAGTTTAAACTTTTAATAGTATATCATTCTTAAATTAATAGATAAACTAAAATTATGAACTAGTATATAGCGTAAAGACTTATCTTTTTTATAAATTATTATTAAGATAACTGGTTAAAACTCCTACTATTAATTAACTTTACTTTTACAGCTCTGCCCCAGGAGTCCATAGGATTATTATTTTTTATAATTAAGTAAGGATATAAGTCCCATACCTTTTTTAACTAGATATCCTCCTAAACCTCTATCACGGATACTATTAACTGATAATAAGTCCGAGCCTTAGTCCGCTGTATAGAATAGATATGGGAGCTAATAAAAAGAGATATATAGGCTGCCTAATAAATTTAGACCTGTGTAGCTAACTGACGGCGTCAATCTGTGAATTTTGATGTTAGAGATGAGGTTTATATGGATACTAGAAACTAGTACTAGGAGTAACCATTTTAGAAACTATTAGAAAGCTGGTACGGCCCAGTGATTATTATTAAAAAAATTAATTATATATTTTAAGTTTAATTACCTAATAATATAAAAGTCCATTCTATTTTTTATTCTGATAAATTCTGCCTTCGCGGTACTTTAGAGCTGCTACCTGGACAGATCTTAGACTAGGCTTTTTTAATTAAGATTAATAATTATACCGAGTAGGAAGTAGAATAGATCTTAAAGAGTTATCTATAGACAGGAACTCTGTAGTACCGCGTTAAATAGATAGATTCTGATAAAAATAACCGCGAGTAATATTCTACTAGTAATTTTAAGAATATACTTTTTTATTTACGTAACTTTTATGTTTGTTATCCAGATTGTTCTGGACTACTTAAACAACTCTTTATATAGATTATAGCTGTGGAAAATAATAAATTTACTGCAGATTATGATAATGATAATGTTTCTCTGACTAAGGATAGTCAAGTTTAAATAGGGGGGTGATGTGACAGTAGTCTCGTTCAGGACTATATAATTATATTTATTTTGTTTATTTTAATATTGTTTTTTTCAAGTGAGTATTTATAATACTTCTTGTTTTCCTTTTTTCCTTCTTACGCTTAAAGTTCTAGAGTAGTTAGTACCAATACGACCTCATTTTATTGTGTTAAACGGCCGTCTCAAAGAATAACTAGTCTAACTTTAATCTAATAATATCTATAAAAAGAATAGAAATCTTTAGAAAGGATAGAAATCTCTAGGATAATAAAGAAGTTTTCTAATATTATAAAGGAACTTTCCAGAAAGAGTTATCTTACTTATCTATAAGAAAACCTAACTAGTCTATAGATTAGATAGTTCTTTCTCTAGCGAATTCAATTTCTTTACAGACTATCGTACTTCACGTAGTCCACCCAGCTTCTTAGCCCGTCACAAATAGTTGCTCCTCTATGAATGAGATAATATAGTGTGATAGATAGCTGGAAGAATATTATACAAGTTCTAAGATATATGCATAGATCCAATCTAAAAAATAGAAGTTAGATGGTGATTAGTAATACAGCAGGACATATTATACTTTAATAAAATCCTGTTGAACCCCAACAAAATCGTGATAAGAGTTATTAACTTTAACTAACCCGTTCATAACATAGAGAGTAGCTATTGAATTCAAACTTTAGAAACTTATAGTTAAGTGGTGAAGCTATCTATTATCAAATTTTCAGGTCTCTGTGATTTGTGGTTCGTGAGAATACTATACTCTGAAAATTAATTCTGCCATACTCCATGCTAAGACTTTTCTCCCATATAAACTACCCGTACCCTAATTCCGCCGCATATGAGATCCCCCAACCCCAGTGGGTTAGGCGATCCCCGAGACTATTGATAGTCTTGACCCTTGCCTATCAACGAGATACGGGGAGGGCCGATGCTCCGTCGCCTCCGGGACCCGCTGGGCGGTCCGTGCGCTCTTCGATCGAATAGAGTTTGATCGATGATTCATAGAAGAACATCATCCACGCGAAGAATCCTGGGATCTGTTGGGTATGATTGGTAATCGCCATCCACTAGAGGCCTGAACGCCCACGGGAGGACCCTAGCGAAGACCATATACTGTTTCGTGAACGACAACCATTTGCTGGGAATTCCTGACACCCATGAGCATGGCAGCCAGTCCGCAACCAGCCTGGGGCTGAATACTCCGTTTGACCTAGGCCGTGAACATGGAAACATGGGTTCTGAGAAACCCTAAGTTGGCCAACCAATCGTTACCTGCGCTGATAATTGCATTCGACGAGATCGGCAAGCCCAGATGCCGTCATCCATGGTTCTTGGAGCTTGGGGGGATGTGGAGGCGAAGGGGCAATATTTCACTCCTGTCATTAAGCGGCCAGGATCTCTTGAGGAGACTACCACCGCACGAGACGTCGACAACGCACCGCAACACCCACGACGATGTTTGAGCCGTGACAATTAACAAGATTCCTTATTGCTGTCAAGGATGACCGTCAACCGCAATACTGCTATCAAGGCAGTTCCCCCAGCTTTCCTAGGATTGAGCTTGATCACCGTGCTCCTACGATGCTATGTCCGCATACGAATTAACAAGGCGTTTGGGTGGGATGATAGCCTGATGGTCATTGCCTTTGTATGTCTACCCACTAGGACTAAATGACCAAAGCTGACGTGCCTGGAGGTATTCTATGCCATGTTCTGCGGGTGTATGGTTGCGGGTGGCGTATATGGGACTGGCATGCACTTTGATGAGTTAACCACAACTCATCGGGTCAGGGCTATGATGGTATGACCGTTTCTCTTCCTACGTGCATCAGAATACTGACAAACCCTGTCTAGTTCTGGTGGCTTTGCGAGATCGGGTACTGTGCATCCTCGATTCTCTGCAAATGTTCCATCTGCATCTTCCTTGCTCGCATTACCGTCAAGCGGGTACACCTTGCCTTCATTTACATTATCATGACTCTCACCGTGCTCATGGGCCTCGTGTTGATGTTCGGGCTATTGTTTCAATGTCGGCCAGTGACCTATTTCTGGACGCGAGTGGCATTTGATCCCACGATTAAGGGGACCTGTGTCACCACCGAGGTGGTGGAAGCCTTGACCTACGCTTACAGTGCGGTGGCAGCCGCATGCGACTTGGCGGTAGGAATTGTTCCTTTCTTTATTGTTTGGGGGCTGAATATGCCCTTTCGGCGCAAGGTGGCTGCGGTGGGTATCTGCAGTATCGGCTGCATGTAAGCAATCTGGTGCGATTGGCCTCCTGTTATTGTTATCTGACCCAACCATTGCAGTGCATGCTCCGCAGTCATCGTTCGCTTCCCGTTTGTTCGTACTTTTGCCGACGTGGATTTCCTGTGTAAGGGCGGCCGTCAAGTGAACACTCAGCCACGCTAATCTTTGCATACAGACAAAACCTACGAAATCGCCATCTGGTCGAATGTAGAGGTCGGATTGGGGATCTTTGCCGGCAGCCTAGCGACCTTGCATCCTTTGCTTCGGCACGTTCGCACCAGCTGGGCACAAGGGCGACTCAAGAGACTCACTTCGCGAGATACAGCAGAGCAAGCAGCGCCACCAGTGGACTTTGTTTCGGTCTCGGATTATCCGTCACCCTCGGCATCGATCTTCCGGCCGGGCAATGTCATGAATATCACCACCACGGTTCAACGTGACGATTTGGGGCTGGCCGAGGGAAGCCAGATGTCCACCCGGGGGAGCTGTGATACCGATATGCGGGTGAATGATATTCTGGTGCAGCAGACTTTTCAGATTAGCACTGGGCGACCATCGAGGAATTGGGATCCTTGGATTAACACGGATGGTGGGGAAGATAACAATGTTTAAGGTCCAGCTTTCCTCATCGATGGCTCGTCCGATATCCTCATAGATAGTTTGAGCGATATTCTAGCGTGGAATGGTTGGAGTTACGCCTACGTGGTTGAATTATCTAATGAGAGGCGGTAATATATATAATACGAAGGGCGTCCTCTCGCACCGTCCATTGTACCCTGATACCTGATTTATGGCCTCCTGTCTTTCGATCGCGTAGGACGTAGAATGGCTGACAACTTCTAAGGGGGGCATTGCTCACTCAGCGCCCGGATGGAAATATCTTTATCCCTATGAGGCACGCCGCAGCATAGCGAATATTGGCAACAGCAGCAAACCTGCCCTCGTACTAGTAACTTCGCTCATAAGTTCGGCCAATTAGTGAATTGATGTTTTGTCTGGGCAATCCGATAAAATACAACACTGTCTCGGTCAATAGGGTTCTATTGCGTGCTAGAAACTACCCGGACCCAGTTCTGGATGCCCTATACCACGCGCCCGCTCCCAGTACAACCACCGTCAGGCCAATCCCTAGTACTCGCCTCATGCGGCGATTCACCTGGATATCGATCAAGAGGCCGCCAGGAGCTCAGCGTAGAAGACGACGCAAGGGGTGTTGGTCACGGCGCGACAGTGTCCCAGCAACTGATCCCATTCGGTGCGCGTCCAGGGGGTCCCTCTGCCTTGAAACTTGGCCTCGAGCGCCGCACACCAGAGGTCGCAGTCCCGAGGGTTCTCGTTCATACAAGAGGCAAAGTGATAGCCGTCATCGTATCCGAGGTCGAGCAGGGCTTGTCGCAGCGACGAGGTACCGGTCCTGTCACCATGCATTCCAGGGGGTCAAGACCACCCGACTGGCAAGTCGACGGGTCAACTGGCCAACCCATCGATGCGATGCAGTCGGAAGAACGATGTTCCGGCAGCCTCATTCTTGGGCGCCCCAGGGCTGGAGAGGCTAGAACTGCTTGGCAAAGGTGCCATGTCAGCCGGCTGACACGGGGAGCGGATATAAGCTTACTGCCGGCCCGGGAACCCACCAGCTCCGAAGTATTTATATTCCCGGCTGGATCCCGCGCCGCTGGCTGACGAGATGCATCATCAGCACCAACTGCTGCCAACAATTTGAACATGCGTCTCCTACTTACCGGTGCGACCGGCCTGGTGGGCTCCAGCGCCTTGAACCATATCCTGTCCCTTCCCCCGGGTCAGGTCTCGCGACTGTACATCCTCAGTCGGCGGCCCGTTCCCATGGCCGACAACCACCCCAACGTGACCGTCATCGATCACCAAGATTTCACCCAATACAGCCCGGAATTATTGGACACGTTAAAGGGCGTCACCGGATGTATCTGGGCTCTGGGGGTTTCCCAGACCGAGGTGACCAAGGAGTACGAATGCTGTGAATCTCCATCCGCCAGTTGACACTGCGCTAACCGCACGGGGCGCAGGGACTATGTGAAGATCACGGTGGACTATCCGCTCGCCGCGGCCAAGGCCTTCTCCACGCTGTCCGACTCTTTCAACTTTGTATATGTCTCCGGGGAAGGGGTATGTGTCCGCGCGTGTAGCATTCCAGCTCTTAGCTAACGAGGGACGCACCAGGCAACCCAGTCGCCAGGCCTGCTCACCCCCTTCTTCGGTCGGGTTAAAGGGGAATGCGAACAGGCCCTTATCGGGCTGTCCTCACAGTATCCCAGTCTCAAGCCCTATTCCGTCCGCCCGGCCATGGTCGACCCCACGTACGACCCGCAAGTCCAGCAGCCCTATCTACAACGACCCGACCAGAGCACGCTCGCGAAGAAGATGCTCCGGGGGGTGCTCGGGCCCGCCCTGCGCGGAGCGTATCCGTCCGCCGTGTCCCCGACCCAATATCTCGGGCGGTTCCTGACCGACCTGGCCAGCGGCGACGGGAAGCCGCTCCAGGGCGAGGGCGTCACCGGGGAGGGCCGGATTATCTCGAACAAGGCCTTTCGTCGGGAAGTAGGTCTCTAGCGCTATCGAATGTTCCAGGTGCAGAGAACGACCGTATCAGGGTCTTCTGGAGGATGGGTCATGCAATCCGTGTATAAATGCTGTGGGGACAAAGTCGTCCTAGGTTACTTCTGTTAGCCTGTCTGCTTTTCAAAGGACTACGTATATATATGTATCAGACCGAGACCGGGAGGTTCCCCCCGCGGTGGTGGCTGTTCAACCGAACACGTCACCCAGGCGGGGTTGAGGGACGATCCCGAGCCCCGAGCCTTGCCCCTCCCCCGGGCTCTTAATTCAACTCCATTCTACCATCTGCTGTCTGCTAAACTCAATTACTTTCCTTCTCAGAGCCACCAAGCGGTAGTACAATGCCTCCCTATCCCCGCCCGGACTTTTCCCGTCGCACCCTCAACTGGCTCTCGCTTGACGGGCCCTGGGACTTTCTCTTCGATGACGCCGACCAGGGCCTGGCGGAGCGATGGCAGCACGAGGGGCTCCCCACCCGGGCGGAACCCCACGCCAAACGCCCGATTCAAGTGCCGTATGCCTTCCAGACGACCGCCTCGGGCATTGGCCTCCATGAGGTGCACGAAGTGCTTTGGTATGAGCGGACGCTGCCGGATATTCGCACCGCGGAGGAACGTGCCCAGGGCCATCGACTAGTGCTGCGCTTCGGGGCCGTCGACTACGAATGCACCGTCTGGGTCGATGGCCAGCTTGTTGGAGGCCACCGGGGCGGTCATGTTCCCGTTGAGGTTGATGTCACAGATGCATTTCGGACGCCGGGCAGTGTCGACCCTCACCGGCTTACGGTCCGCGTCACCGACTCGGCTTCAGATCTGGGTCAGCTGCGCGGAAAGCAATACTGGGGTCCAGTCCCACAGGAAATCTTCTACCCCCCGACCAGTGGTATCTGGTTGTCCGTCTGGCTCGAGAGTGTGCCGTCAATGCGGCTGGGCAGCAGCAGCGATGGCACCGTGCTGAGGTCGGATGATATCCGGGGGGGTTACTTGCAAGCCCGACTCGCCGTCCTGGGTCGTCCGATGGCAGCCGAATGCGCCGTCGAGATTGAAGCCAGCCTGGCGGGCACCGTGGTCAGCCACAGCCGACAGAACCTACCGCGGGACAAGGACTGGGTCAATCTGGAAGTAGATATGCGTGTGCCCGAACCCAGCGCGCTCAAAGGGACAGAGCCATTGAGCCGCGAGGACTGCTGGCAGGGCCGAGTCGCCCTGTGGGCACCCGAACACCCAGTTCTGTATGGCTTGACGCTGCGTCTCTACAATGCGTCCGGGAGTCTGGTGGACGCCGTGGAGACCACGACCGGCATGCGAAGCATTTCCTGGTCCAATGGCGATGGGACCTTGCGGCTGAACGGCAAGCCCTGCTTCCAAACCCTGGTGTTGGATCAGGGCTATTGGCCCGAGACGGGGCTGACGCCGCCCTCGCAGGAGGCCCTCCGGGCGGATATTGAGATGGCCCAGAAAATGGGCCTTAACGGCTGCCGCAAGCACCAGAAGGTCGAAGACCCCGTGTTCCACTGGTGGGCCGATCAACTCGGATTCCTCGTGTGGGGGGAGATCGCCAACGCCTACGAGTTCAGTGCCGAGTACATGAATCGCTTCAATGCCGAGTGGGTCGAGGCCGTGCGTCGCGACATCAATCACCCCTGCATCGTCGCGTGGACCCCGTTCAATGAAAGCTGGGGCTATCCGTCCCTAAAGGACAATATTGACCAGCGGAACCATATCCGCTCAATCTATTACCTGACCAAGTGAGTGGCCCAATTTTAGCACCCGTGTGCCTCAGTCATTGCTCATCCCTCTAGAACCCTGGATCCCACGCGACCCATCAACGACAACTGTGGCTGGGAGCATGTGGCCACCGACCTGACCACCTACCACGACTACACGGATTCTCCGGCTCTGGCCGCCACCTGTGCTGATTTCGAGCGCGGCATTCTGGGCAAGAAATCCAACCGGGACATGTTCGTGGGGCCTATTCAGGACAGCTCATCTGGCCTCGTTGACCCTGGCGCACGACATACCCCGGGGGCTCCCGTCATCTGCTCCGAGTTTGGGGGCGTGAATATTATCCCGGCCCAAGGGACTGAGGCGGGCGAGAGGGACTGGGGGTACACCACCGCCAGTGATCCGGAGGACCTGCTCAGTCGGCTGGAGAAGCTGGTGATGGCCGTCGTCAAGGGGGGATATTCATGTGGGTTGGTTTATACGCAGCTGTAAGCCTATTCCATCTCCATCGCCATCTTCCGGGCTGGAACGATACCTATCTGCGTTTTGGCCAAAAGAACCGCTAACATTCCTCTATAGGTGCGATATCGAACAGGAGGTTAATGGCCTCTACTCGTACGATCGGAAGGAAAAGGTACCGGCGGCCCGGGTCAAGGCTATCATGGATGCAGCGCACCGGTACTATCACGAACATGTGGCTCTGAAGTGAAGGGTGGACATTTAATTAGCAGATGAGATAGTGTATGCTTGACCGGAACCGGCCATCTACTATCCCGGGTAGAAAGCTACGACTTGCATTCGTGGGGAATGACCACTCGTTTCGATTACTAGGTACCAGGAATCCGGCTGAGACCATTGGGCTAGGTTGGTAACGACAGCTGTTGGGTAGAGACTGCTCTTCATTCGAGCGAGGAATTTAAACATTTACCTTACGCATACGAAATGGTGGTGGTGGAGTCACTTTCCCCGTAATCCCCCTCCTTCGTCGCCAAATGGACCAAGAAGATCTCGTTATGCTGACGGTGACTGCGGCTGGTGCGCGAGGCCCGATTGGTATAGGGTCTCTGACTCGTAGCCTGAGATCTAGTCGCGGTGGTCGAGAACAGGCGGGGGAAGATGAGATCCATGACCGGCTTGGTGCTGGGCAGGCTGGCGGCGATGATCGCCACGGCCACTTCGATGCCCGATGAGACGGACACACCAAAGGTGCTCCGGCTGGGATCGGTACTCTGATAGAGTTTGACAATGTAGACCATTCGAGCGATACTGGCAAGGTAGGCACTGCACGACACGCCATATTAGACACACAATGCAATTCGGTTAGGCAGTATGACTTACAACGCCCCCAAGGACAGTAGACCCACCACTATCGACTGCTTCGTCCGACCCATTTGCAGGCCTACTCAACGTGGTTAGAGGCCAAAGACTGTACAGACCAATGGATGAACCTACCGAGAATGCCAGGGAGAGGGCGGCCGTGGCGTACCAAAATGGGATGGATGCAAAACACGAATAGTGCTCGTACTTCTGTGGGTTGTAGGCCGCATCTACCGGTGAGCATTGGAAGATGATCGCGAGAATGATGGCAACGGTCATGGCACCGACGGCTGCGATGGTGCCCCAGTTGAGGGTTCGAAGAGTCGGGAACAAGCGCAGATATAGCAGACAGATGGAGGTTTTGATCAGACCGTCAATGAGGGCGTAGATAATATGAGTGACGTATCGCAACTGGTGCCCATCACATAGCCAGTCAGCATCGAGAGTGCATACTACTATATGGATGAGAGGCTTTTGACCTACCTTGGCTGCCGGTAATGCGTCTGCGCGGGAAATCGTGCATCATGTTTTCCTGTCCCATCTTTCACCCCTACCAGGACACCTGAGATTAGTTGCTAGCTGGGAAAGATTGGAATAACGTACCAAGTCCAGCAATCACCACATTTAGGATCGCAGTGACGGTGGCGGCTGCCATGGTCCAGTCATCCCACCCCAGTCGCTTCACAATGACCACGCGGGATATGAATCGCAGGGTCACGATGGCAGCCGCGACCCCGGTCACCGTCCCATTGATAATTACAATCAAGGGCGCCCGGTTCTCGCTCTAGAAGGAGACATCAGCCCGGTTGTGATCACCCTGATCGACATACTTGCCTCGGACTGTGGGTTGAAACGTTCCCACATCACACTGGTGAGGTCACGGGCCCAACACCACGGATGGACACGACATGTCTTGGAGGACGAGGGTCGACGCCTTTCCACGCCGTGCAATTGGGAAAATCAGGGGTTGTGGTCGTCCGGCTGGACCCAATAAAGAGTCGTCACGGACAAGCCGGTCATGTCGGACGGCTGTGTCGGGGATCTTGCCATAACCCACTCCGATGACAATGTCCGATCCTTCGCCCGCAGCTCTCACGGCCGGGAGGCACGCCGTGATCCTGACATCCTCCATGCCCCAGTACAAGCTCAGCGGGTGGATCAGATTCTCACGGGGATTGATTGTGAGTCACCACTCCTTCGGACATTCGTACGTCTGGTCACAATAGATGAGAAAGCTAACAGTGATCGCAGACCCGTATGTTCCCCTCGCGCAGAGCGAGGCCGCGCTCCCGGCCATCCAGGCCCACGGCGACTTCAGCGATACTGAGATGGCGCGTATCAACAATCGCAGTGCACTCTCTCTGTTTCCGTGGGTGGCCGAGGTACTGGGTTATTGAGTTTCTTGCAGATGGCGGTGTGATCACACTTCCCCCCTACCTGCCTTGTGTATATCATTTCAAATGCAGTAACAGAGTTAATTTTATTCTATTTTACTTCCGAGATAGGCTGGAATGCATCCGTTTCAGATTAGACTGATCGACTCCCGGGGCAACGAAGTGGGTGGAAGTGAATAGGCAGGTCTTTCGAAGAGGCATGAGAATATCTCACACCTTCTGGAACCACATGAGGCCTCCGAGCAGTTCTATCGGTGTTCCAAATGCACGCGTAATTGGGGTTGAAATGGGTTGGGACAGGGGACCATCCTTAGCGCATCCCATTCCTCCTTGGCTTCTTGTCAGTTGATTATTCGATACATAATTACACGCGTAGCTATGTGACACCCCCACTGGACCAATCCCTCCAATGCCATTAAACCAGCCGATCTACACTCCCCTCTCTCCGGTCCCCACCCCCCTCCGAGGCCCCGTCTGTCGTGTATCGCACCGAGAGCGCCGTGGTTTTCAGAATGCCATGGGCCGTCGTGGCATCTTCGCTACTCAGAGTGGACCCGTCCGCCCCGGCGTACTGATGGTATTTCCGCATCTCCCGCGCCATCGCCGCCATCTCGACGGCGTGGGCCGTGTCCTTCATCCCGCCGCGCCCTGCATCGTCCTGGAAGCGTGAGTAGCGGCAGCGCGAAGACGTAGGAGTGGGCGTGGGATATTGCTGGGGGGTGGCGGGATAGTCGGTCCGGCGGGACGTGCCCAGCAGACGAGGCAAGTAGGTGCTGGCAATGGCCTTGAGGCAGGGCGCGCAGGCTGCCATCACGGCAACGTGGACCTCCACGGCCGAGCTACAGAAGCCGATCGAGTAGGTGGCATCATACACCGGATGAGACGGGAAGAAGGCTTCGGCGAGGAGGACGATGCGCCAGACGCCGACCCCGGTAGCCCTGACTGTTATCAGCATGGATATATCTCTGCATCTCAATGAATGCATCCATCTCCCGGGGGTAGATCCACTCACACCGCACCCATACACAAAATCACGCAAACCGCAATCTTCCTCTTCAGCGGCATCTGAAGCGACCAGGTCATGATGATGGGGATGGACAGAACGAGCAGATCCGTGAAGAGATAGACGGCAGCAGTGGTGACATAAAACGCCCCCTGGTTGATGCATGACCCGTTTGGGATAGAGAGGTCGTAGACATAGACGACCGGGCGGCACTGGAAGATGTCGACAAAGAGCACGGCCACGAACAAGGCGACAGTGAGGAACATGGTGGACCAGATGAGCAGGTTGACCCGCTGCGAGTGGCATTCCAGTCGACGCAGAAAGAGCAGGATAGATAGCTTCACCATGGTCAGGCACGGGTTGTACAGCAGCTGGTTGGCATAGTTCCACTATGACGGGGTCAGTGGAGAGCGGCACCAAATGGATGGGAAGCCGCACGATGAGCCCTTGCGTTCGGTCGTAGTCTACGGGGATGTCCCAGATGTGGATGCCCACGTAGTTGGTCTTGATGTCTGGTCGCGTGAGCCCAAGCCAGGGATTTGTATCAGCAAGACCTACAAGACCAGGAGGTGATGGATTGACCGATGGCCAGAATCTGCTTGGTCAGTCTTAAGCACCACCATCATCGAATAGGACTTACATATCCCATCAGGATGAGGACATCATCTATCAGGTCATGAGCGTCAGTTGCAACCCCTCAATGATTACTCCGTAGGAGATTGCGTACCTCCTCCCCAGCGGGACCGAGTCAAATAGCGACTCCAGGCCCGCAAGACCACCGCGATGCCTCCCAGCACGGGAAAGGCGACGACAACGCCCAGGGCGATTGTCTGATGCTAGTCATCGATCATCTTGGCCCCGAGAAAGAATGACCGCACGACATGACCGGGTCATATAAGCTACTAGGCGCAGCGTCCACCATGGTTCCCTGCAGGGATCATGCCTTCGCGCAAACTCAAAGTCCCTAGTGCAAGTGAGAACCGAAGATTAATCCTCCGTCTAAGCAAAGAGATTTATCGCACCAATTAATTTCGTACCCGGACGGACGGAGTCCGACTCTGAGGTGGATGGCGGTTAGTGAGCATCACAGTGTTCCATGGGGATCTCCTCATGACTCGGGGGCTCCGATATATATTCACGCGGTGCAGTGTCAGGTGGAGGACTTGAGCCCAACAAACGACGCGTCATCCGTTCCAACCACCCCCCCCCCCCCCCCCGAGGAGAATTGAAACTCTAGCCGACCTATCTTTTCAAGGGTAGGGAAGGTAGATGGACTCGCATCGGAGTTCCGTCGGGGTCCGTGGCCAGAGGCCGGGGTGCCTGGCCTTAGGCAGTGAGGCGCGCGGGCCGGAGATGAGACACGGCACACCCGACAGGGGTCCAGATTGGCCGGGACGTCTCCGATCAACGAACAAGAGCTTTGCAAAGGACAAACAAAGAACTGCCCGCCCTGTTCTGGCCCCAATCGAGGCGGTTCAACTGTCCGGCCGATTAGATGCCCGCTACGTCCTACCCGGAGAATCCGATTCCTTGTCCGTCATCTCACTTACATAGGATCTTGGTCACCCCGGTCGCATCTGCAACTGATCGATGGATCGGAATCAGCCTCGTTCCGACTGCTCAGTGGTGGCTCTTCCCAGCCCGTCCACTGCCGGCTCTCTGAGTGGAACCGGGCCATCTCCGATCCTCCGACCGGACCAGGACGGGAGATCCGCGGTGCTCCAACACTCCAAGTCCCAGCTGGGGCACGGCTCAGCAGATGGTGAGAAGCTTTGAACGCGGGCATGACATGGACACTGATAACAGTGCAGGTGAGAATAAATCACCCACTCCACCGTGCATCCACCCCTTAGGGCTTGGGCGCCGGTTGCCCCGGCATGATTCCGAGCCCGGGGTCTAATCTAATGCACGTTTAGCTCCGCATCTAGTGGCCAGCGGTCGCTACTGCTGCAGCGGTCCACGGTTAAATACCCCTGGCAGCCAGGCCAGGGCGCTACTTCGCGGATGGGTGTGCTGCATCTCATCATGGCTCCCTCCACGCCTTTTCTCCTTGCTCTGGCACTCGGAGCGGCTTCCCAGGCTACCGCAGCCTCGCGGACGGTCCCCGTCGCAGCGACGACTGTGCCGTCGGCCAATGCGATGGCCAACGCCCCGTTTTTCGCCAGTGAAACCCACCAACTGACGGATGAGGTGCTGGCTTGCCTGCAGCCAGTCCTGGGGAATGCCACGGCCCTGTTCGAGTTTGGCAGCAATTCTTCGGCACAGTCCCTACCGGCCCCCGGAGAGTGCAAGGTGTTGCCTGGCGATGCGGCCTGGCCGTCCCCATCCACCTGGTCGCTATTCGATCAACTGCTCGGCGGTGCCCTGATCCAGACCGTCCCGCTGGCCGCAGCGTGCTATCCGTCCTGGCCCGAGTACAACCAAGCCGAGTGCCAATCGGTGACAGACGATTGGACGGTCTCTTATCTGCAGTGAGTAGTCCCCAGGCCTCTTGAAACATTCGTAATAGACGAGCCAGCGCGGCGGATCCGGCGTCGGTGATGTGGCCGCTGTTCGAGGGCCGCAGTTGCCTGCCGCGCCATCTGACGTCGGGGAACTGCACCCTCGGGGGCTACAGCAGTTATGCCGTGAATGTGAGCACGGTCGCCCAGATCCAGCTGGCGGTCAATTTCGCTCGTGATGCGAACCTGCGGCTGGTCGCGAAAAACACCGGCCATGACTTCAATGGCAAGTCCACCGGGGCCGGAGCCCTGGGCGTCTGGACCCATCATCTCAAGGACATCGTCTACTACGAGGACTACCATGTCGGCAACTACAGTGGGCCTGCCGTGAAAATGGGCGCCGGTGTCCAGGCCTTTGAGATCTATGAAAAGGCCAACGAGTTGGGATTCACTGCCGTAGGGGGCGAGGGCAAGACCGTCGGCGTGGCGGGGGGATACGTCCTCGGAGGTGGCCACTCGCCCATGTCGAGTGTGTATGGACTCGCTGCGGATCAGGCATTGGCGCTCGAGGTCGTCCTAGCCAACGGTCGCTTCGTGACCGTCACGCAGCAGTCCGATCCCGACTTGTTTTGGGCCCTCCGCGGCGGCGGTGGAGGTGAGTACCACAGCCATCTTTCACAGACCGGCGTGGACTGACTGGACTCTAGGCACCTACGGCATTGTCACGTCCATCATCTCGCGGGTGCATCCCAAGGTGCCGGTGACCGTGTCAACCTTCTCCTTCACCACCAGCGCCAATGTATCGGCTGACGCCTTCTGGGCCGGCGTACGCGCCTACCTCGAGCGCTTCCCCGCCAACGCCGACGCGGGCACCTATGCCTACTTCTGGGTCTTGACGACGGGCACCGATGCCTTCGAGTTCCTCATGAACCCCTACTTTGCCGTCAATCACACTGTGGCCGAGTTCAACGCCCTGATGGCCCCCTGGTTTACCGAGCTGGACCGCCTGGGCATCACCTTCACGCCCAACACCACCTACCACGACAACTTCTACGATGCCTGGGAGGCCGGCTTCCCGCTGGAAACCGTGGGATCGGTGACCATGATGACCGGCTCGCGGCTGTTCCCGCGCATCAATTTCGAGGACCCCGCGCGGTTCAACCAGACCGTGGCGGCCCTTCGGTCGACCGTCTCGGCGGGCTATCCCCTGCTGGCCTTCAACCTCAAGGCCGACCTGCCCGCGGGCTATGCGGAGAGCTCCGCCAACCCGGCCTTCCGCCAGACGCTCATGCACGCCATCAGCTCGACCAGCTGGGCCAGCAACACCAGTGATGCCACGATCCTGCAGGATATGAAGTACTTTACGTACGACATCCTGGGCGAGTGGCGACGGACCTGCCCTGAAGCGGGGGCCTACATGTCTGAGGCAGATGTCATGGAGCCCAACTTCCAGCGGGCGTTCTATGGGTCGTACTACGATCGTCTGTACGCCCTCAAGCAGCGGTATGATCCTACGGGACTGTTCTATTCTCCGACAGCCGTGAGCAGTGAGAACTGGCAGGTGGGGAGTCTGGATGGGTTGCCGGACCAGAATGGCCGGTTGTGTCGGGTTATCCCATAGGTCCGTGAGATACCTACCATTAGATATGAATGCTCAGAGCCTTGAATTACCGGTGTGCAGACCTCACTCATCATACCCTGGTCACCCGAGCTATGTAACCACAAACAAACAGCAAAGATATAGTTTCTTAGAAGATGCGTGGTCCATTCTCGATGCTGAGACAGCCTAGACCCATCCAGCTATTTCATCGTTCCCACCCGTACTTGCTGGTTGCTCCCCTGCCTAGGCTCAAACCTCAATGTTGAGGATGGCCAAAGCTCGTCACCCAGGGCTGGTAGTCCTCCTCCAGGAACAGCTCCTGCACCGCCCGTCGTCGAATGCCGACATTCCCCCCATCGAAAATGGGCAGCACCAGCGCGGTGGAGAGCAGACTGGCAAACGGCAGCTCCGTATTATACGCGGACCTATCACCAATCAGCTGTGCATCATATAGACAAAGTATCTACATACACGCCCACCGCATTCATCGCATCAATGCACGACTGAACCGACGCATCCGAAGCATAGATCTTCGCCAACAGGGCCGGTTCCCGGCGCTGCGCATGTTCGCCTGGCCCGGACAGCAAACAATGGGCGGCCTTCCAGGTCAGATACCGCGAGGTCTCGGTCCGCATCTTGATATCGATCAAACGATCGGCCACCGACTGGCGTTGGCCGATGGGCATCGTGCCGCCGCGAGGATCGCGGGAGAAGGCCAGCGCGGCCTCGAAGACGGCGCGTTGGATGCCGGTGGCCATGGCTCCGACCAGCATGGCTGTACTGTTAGTCTGCTTTCTGTCGGACACAACACGGGTGGCTGCAACTAACCGGAAATATCAAACGACTGCGTCACGATAGATGCGCCCGTACCGGGAGCGCACAGCACGTTCCTGGCCGGGACGCGCAGGTTGGTATACTATGCCGTGTGAATTTCCCGCCACTCTGCAGGGGACTGAGAGGCATACCTTGATATGAGGCCCAGAGACTGCCACATGGCCGGCCGTCTCGACATGTTTCACGACATGGAAAGATCCCACAGGGTTCCGATCAAGATCAGCTCGCGTGACGAGGAGAATCATGATGAGGTCGCTGGGTTGGGATGCCTGAGCAACCACATCCTCATCGATGCAACGACACACCACGCAGCTCAGATCGGCGCCTTGAAAGTCCCAGCCGGCTGAGTTGGTGGCCCACATCTAAGCAGTTAGCGTTTCCCGGTTGATTCTAAACGTAGCGCACCTTTTCTCCATTCAACACCCACTCCTCTCCATCTTGTCGCGCGGTCGTCTGCAATCCCGGGGCTCCAGGTTCCAGCCAGTTGGCCTACACTCATCAGCAATCTTCCGTCAACCAGGAATGAGAAGGGGCGTGTACCACACCCCCCGGCTCAGAAAACACCAAAGACGCCAACGGCGACCCCGTATTCTGTAAAAACGGAGCGAGAAACTCATCCACCTCAGGCCGATATGCCAACGCTAACGGGGTCAATCCCAACCCGGTCCCGAAAATCGTCAACGACGCCGATGCCTCGACGGCATAAAACTCCTCCACCAGGATGGCTGCTTCCACCAGACTGGTATTCTTCCCTCCGGCGGGTACGGGGGCCTGCGCGGTGAGCAACTCTGCCTGCACGGCCGCTTCATAGATCGGTTGGAGGGACTGGAAACGCGCCTCGGGGGTGGGGAGGCGCGTGTAGTGCGCTGCTGCTGGGGCTAGGTGAGTCGCGGCGAAAGTACGCGCCGTGGCTTGGACGTGTTGTTCGGTGGGGGAGAGGGTGAAGTCGATCATGCTGGATTGGATTCTGGATATTTGCGACGTGGGGAGAAGAGATGGGGATTCGAGTGAGGACGGGGGATGTAAGCACGATGACCCCGCAGCGGCTGCAGACTGCAGTCTCGTATCACCCGAGCGGCCCATGCACTCAACCCGGATGCTGTGGAACGAGGATTACCCTATGGAGTCAGATCCTACGCATAATGTTGGGGGTTATTGGATGACCTAGCAGGCATTGTACGGCTAATTGGATAGATGTAGGCCAGCATGACTACTAGTGGGAATATATATTAATAAAGTGACACACCAGGGATAGATGCAGTTAGGTCGTAGGGAGGATCATTTTGTTAAACTCAAGGGTTTAAAACCTAGCACTGCAGGGCATAAGCTGGGTATAATACCACGTCTCTGAGATACGATTTCCAAGTACTGAACGGATATATCACTACGGAAGAACCGAACAACAGGATCAGGGCCCTTCTATAGGCGTAGTTACATGCTAGCTTACCCGCCGGCGTGGGAGATCTTGCTTGCATGAAGGGACAAGGAAATCCAGGATATTAAGATCCTTTCTCCCGCAGCATCGGAATCTTCCAAACCTCAGTGAGTCGACGGATCCCTAACTAGGGCTCATCCGGACGTGCCCTAATCTGCTCCGACACGCCTAACAAGCACTGGTGATATTACACGCCAGCTTCTCCGCAATGGCATCTGCCGGATTTATCAGCTAGTCCTGAATGAAAAGGGTATCTGTAACTTACAGATCGTCGCCTGCGGGTGCCCCGGGGGCAGCAACGGAAACATCGAGGCATCCACCACCCGCAAGCCCTGGACCCCCAGCACGCGGGCCTGGGTATCCACCACCGCCATCGGATCCTCCGGGCGACCCATGGCACAGGTACACGCGGCATGCCGCGCGGTCATGGCATTCCGCCGAATGTAGTCCTCGATCTCCGCATCCGTCTGCACCTGGGGCCCCGGATAGGCCTCCTCCCCGATCGTCAGGGGCGTCAGCGCGTCCGTGTTCCACAACTGACGCACGCGTTTGAACCCCGCCAAGAGCACCTCGATGTCCGCCGACGCTGTCAGCCAGTTGGGGTCTACCACCGGTGGCATTGAGGCATCCGGCGAGGCAATTGTCACGGTGCCCCGGGACTGTGGCGTCACCAGCGCCACCGAGATGGCCGCGTAGTTGTAGCCGTCATGGGGATCTTCCTGGGACGGGATATTCTGCGGACCAACATACGACGAGGGGAAGAGATACTCCACCTCGGGCCAGTCGTCTGGGACCTGCGCCAATGCGGTCTGGCCCTCAGCGGAGAATGGGGCGCGCAGATCGGCGGGAATCTTCTCCCAGCCCAGGACATCCGGGCCCGGACTGGTGAGCATGCCAGAGGCTTCCTCATTGAACTCCTCTGCCTGTTGGGCGGCAAAGACCGGGTCTCCCATCCGCGAGTTCGTGACCACGTTGACCCGATGCGAGGCTCCGACGTAGACATGGTCGTGCATGTTCTGGCCCACCCCGGGTCGATCGGCCACTACGGGGATCCCCAGCCCCTCGAGGGTGGCAGCAGGCCCGATGCCCGACACCAGCAGGAGCTGCGGCGAGCCAAAGACCCCTGCTGAGATGATGATCTCCTGGGTCGCATTGAGCTGGTAGCTCAGCCCCTCCGTCTCCACCAGCACTCCTGTGGCCTGCTGGTCCTCGTTGAAGAGGATCCGTTTCGCCATGGTGGACTGATAGACCATATAGTTCGGGTGGCCCAAGGCCCGTCGGAGGTAGGCTGTTTCCGAGGACTCGCGGAGCATCGTCGTGGCATTCAGGCTGAATAGGGTGTATCCCTGGCCGAGAAGGGCCCCGCTCTGGAGGCCTGGGATCTTCGAGATACCGATCGCCTCCAGGGCTTGGGTCGCCCACGAGGTGAAAGCCTGCACGTAATGGGGGTAGGTCACGGAGAGCGCATTGGAGCCGTTGCCCAGCACGCTCACATCATACGTAGGGGTTGCATTGTCGAACCGAAGGGACAGGTCCGGCGGCGTGAAGCGGGTGTTCTTCTCGAAGAAGGGCAACAGGTTATCGAACGTGAAGCTGTCATCGCCCACCGTATCGGCCCACTGCTGGTAGGCCCCGCGAGTGCCGCGGTGGTAGACCATGGAGTGCCTTGCCGACGAGCCTCCCAGGCATTTGCCTCGCGCGTAGTGGGCCTGGGTGCCATATGTGCCCTGTGTCACGACCCGGGTTAGCTCTCCTGCTCCCACGAGTAGAAACCCCACGTACCGCCTGCGGGGTGGTGACGGTGCCCCAGTCAATAAGCGGCTGCCAGTCAGTCGGCGACCGTCCGGTGAATTGGCCGGCGCTGGCAGGCACCTGGCTGAGATTGCCGTTGTCGATTTCATAGAAGCCCCCGGCCTCGATGACGGCCACTGACCCCGTCTGCTGCTCGGCCAGGCGGGTGGCTAGCGTTAAGCCAGCGGTGCCCCCGCCGACCACGATGTAATCAAAGGTCGCATTCCTCCCTGCAACTCCGAATGATGTCCCCAGTGGCGGTGGCTTGTCGGAGACTGCGGACGCGGACGCGGCCAGAGCCGCCCATACGCTGCATATCCGATGAAGCTTCATCATCGACGAATCGAATAATCGTTGATTAATCTATGGACCAACCAGACAATGTGCTTCAAGAGCATCGACAAGCAGGGGCCCTGGGTCTTTGTTTAAATGAAGGAATATACGGTGCCGTGTCCGCGGAATGTGACCTCGCCCGTCGATCATTCCTGATGACCGCTTCCAGCTTCACGGGATTATTGCCTGAGACAACAAAGGAACCTGACTTGGCAGCTGAACTCGGAATTTTTCTCCTATGGTCAACCGTCATGGACTGGCAGTGAGGTCGAGCTGCTTTCAGTCCTGGCCAGCGTTCCCAGCCTGGCTGTCACCCGACAGGGGACTGTAGGGCACGGACCTGACAGGGCCACCAGGGATAAGGCTAACAACCATGGAACAGTCACGCAGGGTAGTCAGCTGGCGGTCCCATCATGGCGCTGCATACTTGCTCCATAGCAGGTCAGGCAGCAGCTTGTTCAGCGACCCAGGTAGGTTTCATGAACCCCTACCAACACCTCCATGCCTTCATCACGTGGCGCCAGCAATATCAGCTGTAATCCTGATGACTGCGACGCGATAGGCCTGCCAGGTCAGCCACTGTTGAAGAGAGGCTCGGATCACCCGTGAGAGTTCCTTCCCAAAGGCCCTGGCACTGCCATCACCGTCCTCCCGAGCTGCGCGGATAGAGAATCATCGGGGGATATCCACTTTAAATCGACTAACGATTGTATGATCGGAAACGCCACCTGATAAACCGCCCCTGACTCGGGAAAAAGTCGTGGACCTGAGCGCAGAATCTTGCCTGTCCAGGTCTCCGCCCACGCCGGGCATGGCTGTTCAATCATCGACCACAAATTATACCCGTCTCGGCTGCAAGATACCAGTCTCTCAATCTTGGGTTCCTACCGGTAGTTCTTTGTCATTGGCCACAGAAATCTTCCCTCGCGACTGCCCATGCTTCTCGGGTTTGCCCTCGCTCGTTCCTGCCTACGTTGCCAAGCTTGGTCAGTCTTCTAGACTTAGTTCAGTGGCGGCATGGAAAGCGTATGCACTCCGATGCCGCCTTCTTCACGACCGCTGTGATCAGCATGGTCAGTTGCAGAGGACCGCCGGCTGGATCACTTGATCTTGGTGCAGTCCAGTTCCGAGAGCTCTGTCCTGAATCCCTAGTTTCGGACTATCGCCAGTGGAGGTGACATCGGCCATCGTGAGGATGGAAAGACAAGACCTTGATTGGGGACAGTGGAAGAGCGGATGCTAGATATTAGAAGGAGATGAGCTGGGGAATGCAAGAGGGTACCTACCCCGCTTCAGTGTCCTTGGCCGGATATCAACAAGCAAGACCACGGAGGACCAGTATCCAAAGCCAATTTATCTCTGTATGATCAATTACAGTTTCCGCTAAAACCCTAGGAGTCCGACACATAATGACAACTTCACCATGTGCCGATGGGATCTTTGAGGATATTCACTCGTTATCATTTGGTTAACAGTAAAGGGACGATTGAAACGACCAGTGAAGGCCACTTCTGGTGACTCCCACATCAAAACAACATGTTACCGTCAAGCTCAATTGTATGAATACACAGGCAACACAGCAGTGTATGGAGGCCAAGATATTTCCAATTCAAGAACTCCCCGATCCCTTGACCACCACCGGAAAGCTACCACTACCAATGTCGCTCTCATCCTCCACCCACACCAGTGCATAGACCCCGTCTGTTTCCGTGCTGGACGCCCAGAACTGCGCCTCCAACTGGGTGTCGTTGTTGTAGACCAGCTGGGAGGCAAAGAGCGCGAAGCCCGTGACCGTCCCATCGATGGCCGTGGCTTGAGAAAATGGCAGCACGCCAATGCTGTTGTCGTTCTCGGACCGGATGTACAGAGACCCGGCACGGGTGCCATTGACAAAGGTCCCGTTCACAATCCAGCACTCGTCGGTGATGGAGGGGAGGTCCCAGTACATGGCAGTCAGGTCGGCAGCGTTGTTATTCGGATCCTCGGCAATGTACAGCAGACCTGATCATCCATCAGCAACAGCCATATAAAACAGCGCTAGGTCTGACCGTCGCTGAGACCGTAGGAAATGGGCCAGGCCGAAGCATTGGCTCCATAGGCATAAAGCGTGGCATTCTGCTCCGATCCTCGCTTGACGTGAGCACCCCAGGTCGCGCCGATGCCGGCCTGCATAGCGAGGAGCGGGCATAGAAGGCTCAGCCACTGCATCTTGCGATGATGAAAGGATTCGACTAGGATCAGAACAATTGGCAAATATTAGGTTAACCAGAGAGCGAATATGGACTTGAGAGGAGCGGAAGCTCCCAATTATACGCCATCCTCGATCAGATCTGGTCCTCCAGTGGGTGAGTTTGTCATCTTCACCGAGATGATACGGTTCGATGTTTCCATTGAGGCATGGATCAGCACCGGTCCGCTGCATACGTGGTCGTCGTGCCATCCGGCCCGTGCCAAACTCGGTTGACAGGCGACGCGCAGGCCTGGCTCCGACTAGGGCTGAATAGCATCCGCTCAACGCCAGGCCAAGGGATCCCGCTTAAAATAGATGCTCGTCCGGAGCCAATCATAGCAGGCATAGAAGTGGCAACGATGACGTCTCGGGACCACGCGAGCCCGTGGATGGGCGCCGTCTCGCAGCCCTACCAGCCGCCCCGCCGTTCATCCTTGCCGCATGAAGCCCTAGTTGTCCCCACCGGGTTTGAGATTAACCCGGCACAGCTGGGCGGCGCCGATCTACGGTCAGTACTGTTATGTACTACGTAGATAGTCCAAGGGCTGCCGGTGAGCCTGAGACAATTTCAGTCGGCGCATGCCAGGTAAAGTTTCAGCGAGATCGGTCCACACACTGCTAGGATCCACCGCTATGCTACACAACTGCTGGACTCTACAGGATACCTTTCACCTTGCGAATGTGTCTACCTCCTAGGTTACGGCTCAGGGCTGTGCAATTGAAAGATCCTCAATTAAGGTCCATGTGTGCCTGGTTATCTCACAGTCCCATGTCCTGCCTAACATGCCACATTCCGCCTTAGATAGAGTAGCAACGCAAGCAGGCACTGACATGCATGTCACCGGTAGACCCTTGATGGCACTAGCGATCTGACCAATATTTGCGATCCCTATGGCCAGAGATAGAACGCATCTGGTCGAAGATTGTCGGTGGAGTCAATCCCACGCTACACACAAACAAATCCAAGACCACCACCTCAGGGCCATGGCACTATCACACTCCCTCGGCGTCTTATAGACATACTGAAATATATATAATGAGCACCAGGGCACGGCTATTCATGATAACATTCTATCATTGATCCTTTTTGGGGCTCGTCATTCTTTCATCCAATGATTTTTGTTCTGTCGGCTTGGGCTTTGTAACTGTTTAATTCACTCTTGACAAGCTCGATCAGTCTCTCATTCCTTTTGCTTCAGGCGTAACGCCTCGTGCATTATGCGACTTTCCGTTCCTTTCCTACTGTCTTCCCTATCGTATGTCCTTGGGGCTTCCATCCCATCCATCTCCCACCAGCAGGAATGTGTCAACAGTCCGACAAACCGCGCATGCTGGCGCAACGGGTACAACTTGTCCACGAATTACTACGAGGAGGTGCCCGATACCGGAGTGGTCCACGAGTACTGGTTGAATGTTGAAAACACTACGGCCGCTCCGGATGGAGTTGAGCTCCCGGTGCAGCTGATCAATGGCTCTTTTCCAGGGCCCACGATCATCGCCGACTGGGGAGATACCGTTGGTAAGCCGCCTTCTTCCCTGGACTGTAGTGTCTAGCTAACTATGACATCCAGTGGTACATCTCACTAACTCCCTCCAAACTAACGGCACTGGTCTGCACTTCCACGGCATTCGTCAAAATTGGGCCGACCAAATGGATGGTGTACCCAGCATCACGCAATGCCCCATCGCTCCCGGACAATCATATACCTACAAATGGCGCGCAGTGGAGTATGGCACTGGCTGGTACCACTCACACTTTTACGTCCAGGCGTGGGATGGTGTCTTTGGTGGGATTGTCATCAATGGCCCTGCTACGGCCAACTACGATGTGGACCTTGGCCATCTCTTTTTGAACGACTGGTATCATGTATGACTCCCCTCTGTTCTGCTCATCCACCTGGTGCAGGCTCGACTGACCAGTTAGAAAACTGCCGACGAACTCGTCCTGCAGGCGTCCACCGATGGACCGCCCACACCCCCCAACGGTCTGATCAACGGAACCAATACCTACGGCAGCTTGGGGTCTCGCTTCGAGACGACGTTTGAAGCCGGCACCAAATACCGCATCCGTCTGGTGAATGCCACCGCTGACAATCACTTCCGCTTCATGATCGACAACCATACACTCGAGGTGATTGCGACGGACTTTGTCCCGATTCATCCGTATAACACCACCCAGCTCAGCATCGGCATGGGCCAGCGGTACGATATCATGGTGACGGCCAAGGAGCGGACCAGCGGCAACTTCTGGCTGCGAGCGATTCCCTAGGAAGCCTGCTCCGAGACGGATGCGTTGAACAACATCAAGGGCATTATTCGCTACGACAACTCGTCCACAGCGGACCCCACCACCACCGTGTACAGCTATACCGATTCCTGCGCGGATGAGGCCGCCTCCGACCTCATACCCTACCTGACCATCAACGCATCGGACAGCTACGCGTACAGCACGGACGAGGACGTTGCCGTGCAAGTCACCGACAATGCCCTCCTCTGGACCATGAACAAGACCTCCTTCCACACGGAATGAGACTATCCCACCCTGATGCACGTGGCAGACCACAACCTGACCTGGAGTGCCAAGGAGCGCATCATCCACCTCCCCTACCGCGACCAGTGGGTCTACATCGCCATCCCCTCTCCCTTCGCCCAAGACCACCCGATGCACCTGCACGGACACGACTTTTGGATCCTCGCCTCGGGATACGGCAACTTCGACACCTCGCAGACTGATAGCTTAACGCTGGTGAATGCCCCCCGCCGCGATGTGGCCATGATGCCGGCGAGTGGATACTTGGTGATTGCGCTGAAGACTAACAATCCGGGTGTAAGTATCATATGCTCTTATTTATATAGGTCGATGTGAACTGGTAGGGCAGGCATGGCTCATGCATTGTCATATTGCGTGGCACACGTCCGAGGGCTTTGCGGTGCAGCTGCTGGAGCGTGCCTCGGAGATCACGTACGACTATGAGACGCTGAATGGCACCTGCGCGAGTTGGAAGAGTTATGTTGCGGCGCAGGATGTGACGCAGCATGATTCGGGGGTGTAGGTGGGTAGATCCATAGTTTTTTCAATAGGTGGTCTGGTTGACTGCCCTGGGATTACAGCTCTTGGGCAAGGGTTTCAGACTTGAACAATTATTTCCACTGCCATGGGCGTAATTTTGTTGTTTTCTGTTTCTTTTTTGGAGGAAAAAAAATTGAAGTGGAATATCGTCAAAGCCAGGAAGACGATCAGCCCTCCTCTCAAACACTACATAGTAGGGCATAGAGTAAGAATTCCCATCAACTCTCGCAGTTGGAAGAAACAGCGAGCGGTTTGAAAGGGTCAGATGGATACCGTATCATACGCTAACTCCAATACCATTTGGTCTGACAGCCCGAAGCAGACGCGTATTACCCCTCCAGTACTGAAATAGACATACAACACTTGTATTTCAATACCCAACAGCGGCTGCCAACCCCAAACCATGCTTCAGTTTGATTTTAGGCCCCCAAAGGCCTAAGGAGGATTCAGCTAGTCTAGGAGGATGGGTAAACTTAAGTGCTGCTCTCATTTTCTAGCCTTCATGCGGAGGAGTTTCCGTTACCCCAGTAAAACTCCCCTCGGTGGTGGCAGCCGGAGCGCTGTGGTCACCGTGCAGATTACTGATGAATAGTGGCTCTATGCCCCCGACCCCAAATGGATCGGCATCTAGACCGCAGGACGATGCCGAGGTTAATGTCTCCAGAGGGCGCAGCGCATCAGGGAATGCATTACAGGCAGAGCTGCGTAAATTGTTTATTCCAACAAGGTAGTGTTGAGATCATATTGGCCTACTCCGTATCGTCTTCTCTGCCAGCAAGGACAAGGATGGATTGGGTTAGTACCGTGCTGCATGCAGGCGACCGTGGTAACACATTCAAGTTTCAAATACTACGAGACCTACACCACGAGGGATCTGGATAAGTTTCAAATTGGGCTCTAATGCTTGCCGTGGTTCACCAAAACTAGTATATGATAGAGTAGGGGAGTCGGTGAAGGGGAAAAGGAGGCTGCGTGTTTTTGCAGCTGCTGGATGCGAAGTGGGTTTAGCCGCGCAACTATCCTGTGCGCTTCCGGGCAGACCAAGATCTGATTTCTATCCTCCACGCTGATGTTCGAAAAGCCCCGTCCAATGGCATGCACGTCGCAGACACAAGCATCCATGAGCCCCATCGTTCGGATCGCGTATGGTGACCATAATCACTCCTAGCTATGGGTACGTCGGCGCTTTGAAGACACTACCGATTACTCATGCTTCAAGTCCTCTCGATGGTTGCTCCGGTACAGTCACCTTCACAACGAATGCCTGAAGAGACTCTGAATCCCGATGCGATGGATGCGCGTGGGGGATCATTCGGGAAGTGGACCGTGTGGTCGCAGATGACAGCTGCTGCGTGGATGGGCTCGGAGGGGTCGTGGGGGATCGACAGCCGGGCCTGATCGATGCAAGGGGTTTATGATGCCATCGGCGTAGCTGCACCACTGTCGTGTGCTTCCCTGCGCCGATCAACGGCAGAGACTGAACCCCTGGGTAGTGTCACAGTAGAACTGAATACCTTAAGTTCTTCGACTGACTTTGATCAAAGGAATAACCCTTTAGGCACCTTAGACCAGTATCGACACCGGCCAAACACCGTTCGACAGAACTTGCCATACTCCACCCGCAGGTTGAACGCTCGCCAGGAGCCTTGCGCGCGGTGAAGGAGGCGAGCCGCCGGGTCCGTGATGGGCTTGGAACCCATGTTCCCATACTTTCCTCGGCCGGGGCTGAAATTTTAGCATAAGACCATTCTCCAAGGGTATATCGACATACCTGAATCCAGTAATTGGGAGGACCAAGACATCGTCCACCAACTTGCTTCTTCCTCCGTCCTGTAATCCAGACAAAGCATTCCACCGGAGCCCTGTTCTCCCGCCCAACCAGCTCTGCACCGCGTGAGTGAAAGCCACCGGCCCGGTGAGAGCAATCGGATCCATTGCTTCCAGCTCTGCCTGGGTGGATTGTGATCGGGGTTCGCCTGCATGATGGGATGAGACACTCTGTAACTCCCCAAAGAGATGGTCAATAAAGGTCTGCAACACTGGGTGCCCCGGCGCCCAGGCAAAGGCCCATTGTGTCAGCTGGGTGGGCAACAGATATCCCATGCGCCAGTAGGAGTCGCCGTCGGGCGGACAGTCTGCCTCTAGACCAACAATGCCTTGCACCGGGTGTGTAGAGTTATAAACGCGACCGGTTTCGAGATCCTCCCAGGGTGTGATGTCGGCTCGGGTGATCCACGCGGCTGGCGATTGAAGAGGCTCGGTGTCGATATCTGCATACTAGTTGCTGTCAGCCATTGCAAGATAATGAGAGGCGAGATATACTTACAACTCCCCCAATCCACTTGGACACCAACACGCGAAAAACGTCCGATTGCTCGACGTGACTGGGCAAAGCGTAGAATTGCTCTTCCAATGCCGGCTCGAAACGCCGGATGAACTCCGCGACCCCCTCATCGTCCCAGAGAAAGTATGCCATTTGCCCGTTCACCACGCGCAGCCATTTCTCCGTGCTCTGTCGTATTTCATGCGGCCAGGTATCAACGCGTGTGCTCTTCCAGGTCTGGTGTACGATCAAGGGAATCGACGAGTATGGAATCTGGCGATGGGCGATGGTACTGGCGGCGCGGGAGGCGTGTTCGGCAGCGTCGATAATGGTCTTGGGGATCGGGTCGGTTTCATTCGTCCATCCTGGGGGGATATACCAGGCTGCAAGGTCAGCACAGATACCAGCGTGTGGGACAAGAGTTCTCTCACCTCCACCAGTGGCACTATTGGTGTGGACGCGCTGGAAGAGTAGCGGGTAGCGATGCTCGAGCAGGGAGATTTCCTGGACTGAGGTATCAGGGCGATAGAGCAACCAAGTGAGTAGCACCATTAGAGTGATGGCTGCCAACACCTGACGGCGTAACAAGCACCGGCTGATCATGATGACAAGGTGTGGGCGAGGGGTAAGTGGTGCGTGGTCATTGGGTAGTGCGACCTCCCGGTATATAACAGGCCGACCAGCATGGATATGTTCCGATCGCATGGCAGCCAAGCTGCATGTCCCCATGTCTTTCCTGCGTCTGCCCCTTTCACGCCCTGGGAGGCTGTGTAACGGGGGAGTGGTGACACGGGGAAACGCGGTTGCCTAGCGGATGGCCCCAAGAGGGCGATTCCTTTCTGCATCCTGCTGCTGGCCAGACGGTGGACGGGAACCTGTCACTCTTGGCCCGGTGGGCGCTAGCCGAGTTGCAGTGTTTGCACTGCTCCATCCGTCGGAGCGTTTCTCCCTCTTGGCTGGGGCGACCATTGGCTCGTTCGTAACGCTGACTTACACGCGTGAGCCAATCGGGCTTGCTGCGCCTCGCACGGTGGCCGCCGGTGACCGCCGGTGGTTTCTGGGGCCAATCCGAGGACTGGCTGCTGTCAGGGCCCACGCCCTACGCAGCCCTAGCCGCGGTGGGTCGAAGCTTAGTCGGGCTTGGTGGGAGACCCTTTTTGCACTGCCCTGCCAGTGACCCAGTGAGGCAGTGCACGTAGTCTTCCTCGGCGGGTATAAACCCCACCATCAATCACTAGGGCAGGTGCTATCCCGTGATTTCATCATAGTGGACAGTCGACAATCCTAAATGTCCATGTCTTAGCTGAGCCTCATGCCAGTGGCCACCACCACTCTGCTGTGGTCAGCACGACCCACCTCAGTGGCCTGTCGGAAATCGCTCGGAACAGGCCAGGCAGCCCCTGACCGGGGTGCTGAAACCAGGCTGCAATACCGCAATACTGCAATACAGTCAATACAGTAGCGTGGTGGTAATACCTGTTCGGTATCGCGTACCCGCGGAGCCCGATCACTTCGCATATTCCCTTTTCAGACAAGACAGTCACCGGCGGCAAGGTCGTGTGCTTGCGGAACTTCACCCTGGACTCATATACCTGCCCACAAAGATGTTCGAGTCCCTTTCCGTCATCTTGCCTCTCTCCTAGACCATGCAGGCACTGTTCCCGCGGCAATGGCTCACACGCGCTTGCGACTGCTGTTGGCAGTGATCCTGGTGTTCATCCTGACCTGTCTGCTGGCTCCATTTCTGGGGAATTTGTACCTGCTCCTTCGGTTGCCCTTTGTGTGGAAAGCGTCTTCTGCAGCGGCCATCATCACCCCGGAACATGATGGATTCGACCTGAGTTTTGCTGCCTATAACCGCACCTATTCCACTGCAGATGCTGGGCTGCCTACCCTCATTCCTGCACGCCTTCACCATGTCCATCTCGGCCCCGAACCACTGCGACAAGAGTGGCAGGCAGCCCGGGACGCGTGCCTCGCGCAACATCCCAACTGGGAGGCCTTTCTCTGGGACGACCGCAACGCCAGTCACTTCGTGCAGAACCACTACCCGCACCTCCTACCCACCTGGGAGAGCTACCCACACCTAGTCCAGCGCGTCGATGCCTTGCGATACATGATTCTACACACCTACGGCGGTACCTCCCTCCCTACCACAACCCAAGCTCACAGAACCGCAAGACTAATACCCAACAGGCGCCATCCTCGACTTCGACCTCGCATGCAAACGCTCCCTCGAACCCCTCCGACAATTCGAATTCGTCGCCCCCGCCGCCAACCCCGTCGGCATCTCCATCGGGATGATGCTGGCGGCACCGAACAATTCCTACGTGGGGGATCTCGTACGGAATCTTCCCAATTTTAATCGTCGGTGGTCGCTGCTGCCGTATATTACGGTCATGTTTAGTACAGGGTGTCATTATGCGTCGTATGGATCCCCCATCTCCTCGCCGCTTTGTTATTGGGAATGTATAACTGATATGTTGTGGAATAGGACCATCTATACCATGGAACGCACTACCTCCCACCTCCGTATTCTTACCGGTCCTCCTGATAATCCTAAGTTACATATGCTCAATGGTATCGTGGATACTCCGCTATTCAGACATCTAGGCAGTTCTTCATGGCATCAGAAAGATGCACGGCTGATTAAAGCGTTTGCCAATATGGATCAACGGTTGGCGTTTGGGATGGTGCTGGTGGTGTTGGTGGGGGTGGTGGGGGCGTTGGTGTTGTGTGTGTCAAGGGTGAGGAGTTGTCGCGTGAGGAAGAGAATGGAGGAGGGGGAGAAGTTTGCGTGATATTGTTTATTGGGTGCTTGGATGTGGGATAGTTGAATAGATCTGTAATAGCTCCTACTTGTATTTGGGGACAGTTGGTTATGGAGGGTACAGTATTTGAACATTTTATGGAATATGCAGTATACGAGGCATGATATGAGGAATGAATGAATCTATGCAATGCGGTACAGATTGTTAAGCCACATGTACCGACTAACTACCAAGTACAGTACCCGATCCCAGGAGTATTGACTCGCATGTTGACTGAACGCAGCCCGTGCGATGAGATAGGTCCGCCACGGACTGACCAGCAGTGCTTTGTCGCCGTAGAGATCCTGTCCTCCCACGAGCAATTTTCCATGCCGTGTAAAGAGCGCTTTGGTAATGCGCCAGGAGAATGGCACCGAGGTGAGCACCAAGTCGAGCAGCGATGAGTACTTGCGTAGGAGAAAGGTACTCTGTAGGGCGTAGATGGGTGGCGTGTGAGGGAAGGTTTGCGCGTAGTTCCTAATCCATCAGTCATTATCCTGATAGTGGTGATAGGCACTTACAGCACTCCCGCACTGACAGCCCGGTGGTTAATGTGGCCGGAGACGCCACCATGATCGAACGTGAAGATCTATACCATTAGCGTTGTCCCTCATCAATATACCAAACATACCAGGTCGGTTTTCCACATATGGACGTAATGCGCCACGATATCTTGAATGACATCCTCGCGCCACCACTTCTTTGGATTATCCTGCAATGCGCCATGCTCCAGCACCACACAGCGAGCGGGTTGGATGCCCAGCGCGGCACAACTGCGTTCGATCTCCCCTTTACGAATGTCTCCGAGGCCATTGTAGTCACCTATACCTCGTTAGTGTGGATAGTCTTCGGTTGTCATGTCACACACCTGTGGATAAGACCAACAAGGCACGGGTGACATCCGGGTTGTCATGGCCATGGAGGATAGTCGGGCTGAAGAACAAGGTCTCATCATCGGGATGGGCGGTCACGAGAAGCACATTCCGTGCCCGCTGAATCGTCTCCGGAACGAGACGGAGATCCTCGGCCAGATAGTATGCCAACAGCACGTACAGACAGACCGCGGCTGACAGCCAGATCAACGCTGCTGATGCGATCAGCCATTTCCAGTCATGTCGGCACGTCCGGCGCACAAAGCGCTTGACCAAACGGGTGGGAGAGACCATCACCGACGGGCTGTTCGCGGTAGAATGGATGGAAGAAGAGTGTGGTCTGGCCATGGCATTTCGCTTTGAAGTTCCTTCACTGTCCGCACTTGCGGGAATTCCCAGGAACCGGAGGATGAATGGCAGGCTGCAGCCTGACGGTATTGTCCGGCAGACGTATGTATGGTAACGATACCCACTGAAACCCACCGATACAGCCTTACGGTCAGGGTCTGCCATCTCCGTCCGAAGCTTCAGCCTCAAGCGCATTGCAGAATAGGCAGCAATCTATGCCGGTATTGCCATTGGCTCGCTTGGTTAACTCTATTCCTCGTCTAATTCCGACCTGAGTGATTTACCTGACCAATGCCTGTTGGGCAGGGGCGGAACAGGCTGACAAGCTTTGCTGGCCGAGACCACGATGCTTAATTGTCTTCTGCAGCCCCGGTGGGGGGCCGGAAATTGGTATTAGCAGGGGGGAATAGGGGTCTCTCACACGCTCCAGCCAACGATCGATGGCCCGACCAGGCTGGCTTGGGGCCTCGCCAGACGGGTCAGCACTAGGGTCTGATCTAGTGAAATGGCTGGCTTCTGGCTTGTACAGGCTGACATTCAAAAGGGGCCCTTTGGCTGAATCGGTTTCTTTGTTACCGTGTCACCATCGGGAGTGAGTGTCATCACGTCGAGGGATGAAACGCGGTCATCTCCGGGCACGCTCATCCTATCAGTAAGATCGATCTCTGTGAAACATAGTTCGTGTAGCTGAGTGACTTGACTTAAGGCACAAAGAAGGCCAGGCTGTCGCTGCAACCAAGGGGTACTACCTTGACTCCATCTGGATACTCGCAACACAAATCCATAATGCGTCGACTGACTGACTGGTTCCCGACCTGTATTTTCACGATGTGTCGCGATGAGCAACACACAGCAGGCCTGATTGGAGGAGCGGCCTGCAGCTCGGATGGGATCGATCCAACCGGAAGGCGCGGACAACTGCAAGGGATGGCCACGACAATCCCACCCCGACTTGACAGAACATCATCATCATCACCACCACCTTACAATCGTTGAATCAACCTATCTGCAACCTCACTGCAACCTAAGATGATTCTATCCAAGCTGTGTTTGTATCTGCTGGCCCTGGTCGCCCCCTCCCGCCCCGAGACCCACCAACGGACCTATTTCTACGTCGGCGGGAACTACACCCTCAACAGCCAGGGCGAACATATCTTCACCGACCAGATCTACGTGGAGAAGCTCACCCCCCCGCGAGTTACCCAACCCCATCCCATCGTCTTCATTCATGGCCTGGCTCAGACTGCCACCGTAGGTACGCCCCGAGATGCGTGGCTGGTTTGCTAACGGGCATAGAACTGGCTGAACAAGCCGGATGGCCAACCCGGATGGGCATCGTACTTCCTCGATCAGGGCTACGAATGCTACCTGCTTGACCAGCCGTTCCGGGGCCGCAGTCCCTGGCAGGCTGCTAACGGCCCGTTGGCGACCTACTCGGCCGAACACCTGCAAAAATACTTCACCGCGCCCGCCCAATATGGTCTGTGGGCGCAAGCCTCGCTACATACGCAATGGCCCGGCACTGGGCTGATGCATGATCCCATCTTTGACGCATACTATGCCAGCACGGTCCCATCGGTCAGCGACGACATCTCCCAGGAATCGGCCATGCAACAGGCCGGCACGGCCCTGCTGGATCGCATTGGCCAGCCGGTCATTCTGGTCGCGCATTCCCAAGCCGGCCTGATGGCCTGGCTCATGGCTGACCAACGATCGGATTTGGTCTACGCCATCGTGGCTATCGAGCCAGCCGGGCCTCCTTTCCACAACGCCATGTTTGGCAGCGGTCCCGCCCGACCGTACGGCCTCACGGATATTCCCCTCACGTACGCGCCCCCGGTGTCGGATCCGAAGACGGACTTGGTCACCACGGTGCTACCTGCCGACTCGTCGGACCGGAAGGACTGTTATATCCAGGCCGAGGATCCCCCGGCCCGCCAGCTTTTGAACCTCGGCAAGATCCCGGTGTTGCTGGTGACCACGGAGGCCTCGTACCATGCCCCGTATGATTGGTGCACGGTGCGGTTCTTGCAGCAAGCGGGGGTACGGACCGAGCATTTGCAGCTGGGGGAGATTGGGATTCACGGGAACGGTCATATGGTGTTTTTGGAGAAGAACAGTGATGAGGTGGCGGCCGCTATTCATGAGAGGATTGGGTCAACGCCTCTGAAACACAGATCGGATCTCTAGTCTGTTGCCAGCCGTCTTATCGCTTCATGAAGGCTTGGTTGGCGCGAGAGCCGAGGACAGCAGCCAGCGTGGTTTAGTTGTACTGAGCGAGACTACACTGAGGATAAATATGAGGATTGCCTGGAAGATGCCCATCTAGCTCTATTGTCAGGGTGTATCACGCACAGAACGCGTAGTCTAGTCTTAGTCTCATCTTTCCTTCTACACTGCAAGTGTCGCAGACGCTAGCTTCCATGTGCCCTTTGGCTAACATTCCACATTCACATTCTTCGTATGGCAAGCAGTGGAATACTTTTTTTGTCCTCAAGATGATACACAGACAGGGCTGTGGCTCAAATCCGCACAGAGATAATCTTGTCTCCCCGCCAGATCAGACGCTCATTCCGTATGAGTATAACTTATGATCTATTGAGTATATCCGCTCGGGATATTGCCCATATCGGTCACGTGCACGTCGGACCTAAAAATAGAGCGCGGAGACATCACCTGACCCTGGCATCCGCTGGGGAAATGCCATTCTGAACACAACCGACTACCGTAGCTACCCGCGCCGCAGAGCCAATGAGATGTCATGGTTAAGCCCAACATCTCAAAGTACAAGACACAAGACAAGAGAAAATGTGAAGAATCGCCGACAAAGAACACAAGAGCAGGGAAGTTCGATATACGAATATCTTGATAAGATAGGACATATGCGTACTTACAAGAAGTCGGCTGGTGATTGAATAAATTCTATATGCAATAGTTTGTCCCACTTCCAGGTTAATCTGACAGGTGTTCATCAGACCACCCGTAATATATATCTGGGACATGCAAAGCCCTCCGCTGTCTCCGCGTGGTACAAAGCAGGAATTACCACAATGACGAGTGCCAATACGAAGGAACTGCCACGCTGGACCTCTTAGCAAAAGACACCCAACGAATCCAAAGCATTGGCTAAATGCGACCGGGAAGGCTTCTCCAGACTCCGCAAATGGCGGCCTGACGAGCCTGCTCGAGCCGGTTGCCCATGTTGCCTCTTTGGGCAGGTTTTCCCGCCACACTGATCCATAGATCAACTTCATTTTGCTCATCTTTTCCATCACCGTCTCCGATGCTCTACTTATAGAGTGGATTACTGTTCGATAGTTAGGGATAGTTAGGTTGTTTCTCTCTGCTACAGCAACTTGTGATCAACATCATGGCAACCGAGACCATCGGACACGCCCCGGTCCCACCCGTGCCAGAAGGGCCCGTGGATGTCATCCCAGAGAAATCGTTCTATCTCAAACTCATCGCATCCGGCTTCTCCTTCTTCGTCGCTGGGGTCAACGATGGTAGTCTCGGGTCGTTGCTCCCCTACGTGCTACAGTCCTACCATGTCAGCACTGGATTGGTGGTCGTCGTGTATGTTCCTGTGCACGGCGGAATAGAATGAAGCAGTCCACTGATCACATCAGATACGTGTCCACTCTCATCGGCTGGCTCATCGCCGCTCTCACCAATAGCTCCCTCTGCCAGTACTTGGGTTTAGGGGCCATGCTGGCCCTGGGGGCGGCCCTCCAGGTACTCGCTCATGCACTGCGCGCCTGGCTCCCCCCATTTGCGCTGTATGCGATCACTTTCTTCCTGGCGAGTCTGGGACAGGCCTTTAACGACACCCATGCCAATACCTATGTGTCCTCGGTGAAAGCCGCCCATCGATGGCTCGGATTTATCCATGCCATGTATATGGCGGGATGTCTGGTCGGACCGTTGGTTGCGACGGCGGTGGCCTCGGCTAATCGGCAATCGCAGTGGAACCTGTTCTATCTCTTCCCGCTGGGGTTGGGGGTGATGAATCTGGCGCTAGTGCTGGTCGCCTTTCGCGATCGGATGTTTATCGAGGCATCAGGCCCAGCAACTCAGCGGAGTGATAGTACCGATTCGAGACGTCACCGTGCTGTTAGGGAGATCAAGGATACACTCCGAGTCCCGGCTGTCTGGCTGACGAGCTTGTATTTCTTCTTCTTCCTCGGGGCAGCCATCACTGCAGGGGGTAGGATACAGCAGTTATTTATTCTAGCAGAGCTGACATGAATAGGCTGGATTGTCGAGTATCTGGTGCACGTCCGACATGGGGACGTCCAACAGATGGGCTATATCCCGACCGGCTTCTACGGCGGAGCTTTTCTCGGTCGGTTAATCCTAGCGGAACCCACTTATCGACTCGGAGAGCGTCGCATGGTGTTTATCTATGCAGCCTTGTGCGTGGGGTTGGAATTGGTCTTTTGGCTGTCAGTGTCCCTTTGCTGTTCTTGGTGCAAGTTGTATCAACTGACTTATAACCAGGGTCCCCAATATTGCCGTCGAGGCTGTAGCGATCTCCCTGTTAGGATTCTTCTCCGGTCCATTTTTCGCGACTGTAAGTATGCAGTACCTACGACAAGCGACAGACTGACATTCTATAGGGAATTTCAGTCGCCTCCAAGATCTTCCCAGCCAATATACGCTCCTCGGGAATCGGTGCGTTCTTAGACAATCACGTATGTTCAATGAAGTGCTAACAACTTCCATCCAGCCTTCGTCTTCGTCCTGGGTCAAATCGGCGGATCCCTCTTCCCCGTGCTGACCGGGATCATCTCCTCTCATACGGGCGTCAAGGCCTTGCAGCCCATGTTGCTGGCTCTGCTCGCTGCCACGGGCATCAGTTGGCTGTTGGTGCCGCAAGCTCCCCATGTACGGGCCGACTGAGACAGCCGAAGATGTTCAGTTCATCACTGGGAGATCTGACATGCTGCCTTGGTGCCTTATGACGCAGCCATATAAGGAGACGTCGCTTCATTGCGCACCCCTGGTCTCGCTCCTCAACTAAATAAATCAGTATATATGCTATCTCACAGGCAATGTACATGACAGATTGCATCGAGCCATGTCTCCACGTGGAAGATCTCGTTATTGAAAATGGATGAATTGAAGGTTTCTTGATATTGCCCTGCAATCCATAAAAGACATAGATCATCATAATCATCGGACCGCTGAAATCAGTAAGAAATCAAAGCCAAAAGTACAACCACAGCACTCATCCACAGGATATCCACAAGACAGATAGTACAACCACAAATGCCTCCTCTACTCCATATGCTCGACGGTCTGCTCATCCATCTTGGACAGGTTCGCTCCCCCATGGGCAGCCGTCTTCCGGAGCTCTTCGTCTTCGTGCGGGATGTACTTCAGTGGGCGCTTCACGCTGATGGCATCGGGGTCGTTGATGACAATGAGGGGAGGGTTGGAACGGTAATAGGCATCGAGATCTTCGAGTGTGCGGTTGGCTAGAAATGTCAGTCTAAATCAGCCTGATTACTGGGTGTGCTCACCTGTCTCCGGATAGAAAAAGTCAATCACCGGCAGGAAGGCCGCAGTAAACACCGTCCAAATCACCCGGACCTTCCACCCGTTGCTCTGGATACCAATGGGGGTGATTTCCACCACCACGAAGTTCATGATCCTGGCTAGTTAGCTTAATCGACGAGATTAGGGTTGGCAACTCACCAATTCGTCGCCGTCGACACTGCCGCCGTCTTCGTCCTCCTGGGCAGAGAACTAATCTCCGTCGGATACAGCCACGGCACGCCCAACATGCCCATTCCAAAAGCAATATAAAAGAGAAAGAAAAAAGACATTCGACGCGGAGGCAAACTTTTCCCCGTTGGGACTGGACTCCGCAAATTTACAACATAATGGTGATCAACAAGAAGGAGAAAAACTGTCCAATGGTGGATATCATCCTCAGACCGCGTCGACCCATTTTCTCGACTAACAGCACTGCGCCGGACGTGAATACGAAGTATGATACGGAGTTGCTGTATTCGATTTCGTTGCGCTGGGTGGAGATGGATGGGTCGTTGACGGATTTGCCTTCGATGCAGGCAATCACTTCGATGGCTTCGGCGACCTGGCCTTGGGCCATGAGCCATCTAATTCCTATTAGCCATGTCCAGCGAGCACTCACCACCTGTGTATTGAATAGAGGTGGGGGGTACCTGGGCGACTCCGGCAGCCACGGCACCGTAGCAAACAGGATAAAAATGAAAAAGAACTGGAAGGCGATAGGGAATCGCCACGCGACTGAACCCCCGTGGAAGGACAAGCCATAATTGATCCAATTGACCAGACAATATCCCGCCAGATTCATCAACACCTCGAAGATGACGAGTCGGCCGCGCCACCGCGCTGAGGAGGTCTCTGTTTGCCAGATTGGGGCGGTGGTGGTGTTGATGCCGTTTCCTAGGCTATTCCGATATGTTAGATGAGTTGAAAGGGTCGGGTGAATGACATACCCTGAGACGACACGACCAACAAACATCTGCCCGAGATTGTACGAACTCGCCTGCAGAATTGTGCCCACGGCCATGATGGCCGTTCCCCAAAGCTAAAGGCAACGATGGCCCCGAAGAAACAGCCCACGTCGTAGATGGCAGTCACCGTCGACAGAACCTGCGTTTTGCTCGATTCCACGAGGTCGAGAGTCTCGAGAAAGTTCTCCGTCACTACCACACCACCTGCGAGGCTTAGTGTTGTCCGGAAAGGGGGTGAGGAAACCTACTGAAAACACCTTGGTCGTACCCGAATACGGTCATGTCAGTGGCACATGCCACCTAAAGAGTCAGCAACGGTGCATAGGCAAGTGCATAGGCATAGTGTAAGACTTACCGTCAGCCAGACGGTCAGCCATCCGCCGGTGAGCCCAAAGTAGGGTTCCTTGCTGGAGAACCACGCGAGGCCCATGATACGGGCTTCCATCCTCGCGTCACACCTCGACGACCTCATCTGTCTGTCGATTAGATCATGGGCACCCCTAATGTCGTCCCCTCCGATGACGGGCCAACTGCCCGATTCCCCCAGCCACCGTCGACTTCCCAGGAGGGAAACCCCAACGTTCCCGCAAGGGCTGGTGCGTCCATCCATTCCCGGTTGGGGAGTCTGACTGACCCTCCAGCCCTGCATGCCGCCGACGGAAAATCAAGTGTGATGAGCAGAAGCCCGAATGTGGCCAATGTCTGCGCAGTGGTCGCTCCTGTCGCATCATTGACAGTCTGTTCCGGCCCCATGCGTACTCCTTTCTCCCGGGATCGTCGCCGCGCAGCCACGACACTCGCCCGAGAAGTCGGTCTCCCGACTCCCCTGTGCCCGACTCTGCCCACGACACGGCCAACCCGGATGGGACCTGGGTGGCCAACACCCCTCAGCCAGCGCAGACACCACGTGAGATCCCGTCTGCCGCTCCGGCTCCCCCCGCGCCGACTTCGCCCGCCCCCACAGACGTCATGGCTTTGGTCAAGGCGTTGACCCCGGGCCCCCTATTGCTGCTATTGCCCCTATTGCTTCGATTGCCCCTGTGGCCCCTGTGGCCCCAAGCAGAGGGTTCCCAGTGCCTAGAGAATCCCCTCCGGCTCCTAGAGAGCCGCCCATCCAGATCCCAGATTCAAGTCCCCATTCGCATAGCAATGGTCGGCGACCCCGTCACGAGCAGTCTCGGACTCCCACCGATCCCTGTCTCTGGCAGGATGATGCAGTCAAGGATAGCTATCAAGACCGATGTGAGATTGCGTTTTTCCTACGATATTTTTCCGACGGGCCCGGAAGGTGGATGGACCTCGGGACCGACACCCAATATTTCAGCCGTTATATTGTGACGTTGGCAGATTTGAGTGCGCGGGTCCGATATGCTGCGTGCGCGCTGGCCGCGAAGCAGCTGGGCCAGTTGAAGGATCCGGAGTCGAGCATCCGACAAACGTCCTGTCACCGGGTGATGCTCAAAGCCTTTTCCGATTCGAAGCGGGACTTTCTTTGGTACGGAGCCAAATATTACGAGCGGGCCATCCAGATCCTGGCCCGTCCGATTTCCCACGAGGACCGCTCGGATTGCCACATGTCGCCTGCGTGTATTTACCAGTCGGGATTGACGCCGCAGAGTGTGGATTACAGTGTTCTGGGCGAACAGGAAATTGCTGCGGCGACATTTCGCCTACTGGCTGCATGTATGCTGTGTCAGTATGCGGATTTGAGCGTGACCTTGCGGGCGTGGTCAGGTCATCTGGACGGAATCTACAAACTGCTGCGTCCCCATCTTAGTGGCGCGGTAGAATTGCAGCCTTCGCATCCAATCCCGCAGCCGGTGGCTGTGGTTGAATCTATCTTTTGGTTTCTGGCTATTAATGATATGATGGATGCCTGTGAGTCATCCCCTACCGCAGTTGGCAGTATTAATTTGTGTTTTTTTTTTGCAGTCGTGTCACGAAAACATACTAGGTTAAATACCGACGACCTGTCCGTGTGGCGCAAGTTCGGGGGCTTACCTCTGGATGATACTGGAACTCTCATCATCCACTACACCGACGAGCGACATACCGAGTCGATCCTATCGAAAGCGTTGATCCGACTGCTGTGTCTGATGGTCAACGCCAACCTCAGCAACGTGCTCGAGTGGAACTACATCAACGGCGAGCTCGACCGATGGCACAGTATCCTCCCAACCAGCTTCCTCTCCCCCGTCAGCTGGCCACCTCAACCTACCACCCAAACAGACTCCCTCGAGTCCAACCCCATCCCCAACCTCTTCACCCGCGAGACCTGGTTCTCCAGCGACACCTGCGCCATCGCGATGGCCTTCTACCACATGGCGCGAATGGTCCTCCTCATCAACCGACCACTCGAACTCTTCCTCCAACAACTCCCCCACCAACCAGATCTCCTCGCCACATACCGCGCCTTACAGGACGGCCTCCGTCACCACGCCTCGGAAATCATCCCCATCGCGCACGGCATGCCCAGCGCCGTGGTCCGGAAGTACCTACTGCAACCGCTGTACGTGGCAGGCCGATGCCTCCAGGATATTAGCGATCGGAGAAGTCTCCTCGCGATTCTGGGTCCGATCGATGATGATCTCGGGGCGTTTACGGATTACCGGAAGAGGGATCTTTGTGAGGAGTGGGGGATTGCGTATGAGCCGGTAGAGAGGAATATTGTTTTATAACATGAGCACTCATTCGCACAAGTCTGGTTCTAGTTCACTTGGCTGTGCCTCTACTATAGACTTGATGTTATATTGAGATATGCCGTGTTTCTACCTTCTACGCTGGGGCTGAGAAGGGATAGATTGTGGCGTCAGTAGCTTGAGTACGGCAGAGGAATAGAAGGCCCTGTTCCACACCCCGTAGTTATATTTATTACTCCGAGTCGGAACGGCTTCTTAGACAGGTTCGGGCTGATTGCTTCCTTGGTTATCCGTAGCATTGTGCTTCTTGTCACATGACCAGAGATACACTATATCTGTGCGCTTTAGCCCAGCATGACCGTATCTGTCATGTCAGATTACGAAAATTACTGCACCCGAGCTTTCCGATCGGCTAAGATGATTGAATTCTGAAAATCACCCTCGAACACACGATCATGTAGGGTCTATGTCAACAGAAACAGACTAACACACCACCTATTCCATCACAAACTCCATAATCGACATGATACTCCCCGCCGGTTTAAACGAGCGCCTCAACTTCAACCCCGGATGCGCATCCTGGCAAAGCTTCTTCCAGTCCTCGAGGGGGCGTTCCCGGGCATTAAACGTAGTAATCATCTCCATGTCCATGATTCTACTCATATTAGCTAGGCCATAGACAGAAATGAATTACTCACCGTGCAATTCTCTCCTCGCCTCTTCCCAGCGTCAACGGTTCCGGCAACACGCCTTCGTTCAGAATCACCCGACTGCCCTTTTTCATCGCGGGTAGGAGGTTCTGCAGGATGTTCACAGCTCGGGCATCGGGATGGTCGTGTAGAATGAAGCGCAAGAGGTAGACGTCCGCGCTGACGGGCTGCGGGGTGAAAAAATCATGAGTCTGGAAGGTGACCCGCTCTGCCAGGGCAGGGGGGAGAGCGGCACGGCCCTGTTCGACCACGCCCTCGACATCTTGGACCACGAACCGGGCTGCCGGGGCTTTGTGGCTGATAGCAATACTGGCATGACCGGTGGAGCCACCGACCTAGATGTCATCAGTAAATACCATGCTGAACACGAATGAATCGAAATACATCAACCACCGTCCCCTCGACCTCCTCCCACGGATACCCATCGACCAAATGATGCACGCCATACCCCTCCGTGGAGGTCATCTCGACCATAGTATTCGCGAACCTGCGCTCCCGCTCCGGGAAGCGCTGCAAATGCACAAACATAGGCTCCTCGGTATCAAACGCCAGGTTATACGCCGCATGATGCGCGAGCTGGCTGGACCCATACCGCTCCGTGGCCTCGACCAATTTCACCGACGCGGGATACGTTTCCTCAGAGGTATACCCGACCCAATCATTGAGGGCGGGCGAAGTGACGAGCAGAGCCGAGGCGGCGTTGTGGGCCACGAACCCCGGACGGGGCTCGGAGAAGAGCCGGTTCGTCATGGCCAGACGCAGCACACTCTTCAGTCGGTTCTCGTCCACGTTAGCGGTGGCGGCCACCTCGCTGTACGGGACGGCCCGGTCCAGGGGAATGGCGGTGGCGATGTTGAAGTGGTATAGCCAGCGGAGGCTGGACATGTCGTGGTACTGGACCTGTCAGCATTTCTTTTTCTAGTCCATAGAGTAATTCGAATGATTGAGTTTTTTTTTTTTCTGGTGATGGCATACCCGACACGCCAACCAGCGGAGATGCTCGGCCGGTCCAACGAGGACATCGAACATGGTTTGACAGGCATCCAGGATCTGCTGACGGGCGGCCTGAACGGCTGCCGGCGCATCCGGGAACGCCGGGGGGGCATCACGATCGAATGAGGGCTGGGGATGGCCGTTGGCCACGAGGAACGCATTGACTTGCTCAGTGGCGTGGCTGATCTGAGCGGCCAAATCGGCCAGAGCGGTGGGGGTAGTCATGTTTTAGATATTCCAGGTAGCGGAAGCAAAAGTCAAGGAGGGGCAATGAGGGGAATGAAAACGGCTCCGGAGTGCAAGGGGTGACAATTGCCGATTTCTCAACGGGTCTGGTATCCGCTAAGATAAGATGGGTTTAATCTACCCCCTTGGGTATTATTGCGACCGTCGGTTAGTCCCTTCTCGGGATAGTCGTCGCCAAACCCACCTCGGATTCTGCCAAGAGGTGGGTTATCCCATTCCACAGTATTGGTGTGAATACCTCTACAGATCATCTGACGCCAATTTCTCTACTAGTGTCGAGAAAATAATTGCTGTGATTCCCTCACGGATCTTGCCAGTATATACCATTCCAATCCAGTGTAGATGTGTAGACGAAGAACAATCAACCCCTGCAGGGCTGGGCTATACCATCTCCAGGTTAGTATAGGGGTACTTAAGTAGCCGAGCTTGTGGCCACTTGGCCTGACTCCCCACCACCACCAACCTCCTCAGCCACCCGAGACAGCACCTTCGGTGATCATGTCGTCCGACCACCCGATCGAATCCATCGAGGTCGCGGAACCGTCCGTGCACCACGTGCAGGTCGACCCCGAGGTGGTTACCGAGTTACCATAGTACTTGTGGAGTACATTCCGGCTGACAGCGCCTAGGATGATCCGTGGGGGGGTCTGATGGGGGACGGAGGATACCCGACCGACGTGTATGTCCCGTACCAGAGTCCTATGCAGGACTGACTTCTCTTAGTGACAGTTATGCCACCTCATTGAGCTCCTCCGTCCTCGACTACAAATGGCTCAATGGACGGCGTTTTCACGCGTACAAGGAGGGCAGTAAGTGTGCCTGGGTCTTCCGGCAGCGATGATGCATTAACGACAGGCTACAAATTCCCCAACGATGAACGCGAGCAGAGCCGACTGGACATGATGCACTGTATTTTCAAGCTGGCCATGGGCGGCGAGCTGTTCCTCGCCCCGGTGGATGTGGAGCAGCCGCTGCGGGTGCTGGACATTGGCACGGGAACCGGCATCTGGGCCCTGGAAGTTGGTAAGCATTGATCTGGAGGTGCATCGCAACGGGCTAATACATCTAGGCGACCAATTTCCAAACATAAAAATGGTAAATCGGAATGCTGATACCTTGCTATGCGGCTGACTGTTCAGATCATCGGAAACGACCTCAGTCCTATTCAACCCGATCTGTATATGTTCCTCCCCCCTTCCTAGAATCAGCACTAAGCAAGAAACAGTGTCCCCCCCAACGTGGTCTTCGAAGTAGACGACGTGGAGGCTGAATGGCCCCCGCGTGAACAGTTCGACCTGATCCACGCGCGCTACATGTGCGGATCGATCAAAGACTGGCCCAAGCTCTTCCGACAAGCCTACGAGTATGGACCCCTTCCGGTTCCGCCCACCGTAACTGACAACCAACCCCAGACAAACCCGCGACGGGGGCTGGATTGAATTCCAAGAATTCCACCTCGTCAATTACAGCCAAGACGGCACCCTCACCGAAGACAACAACGTCAATAAATTCTACAAGTTACTTGCTGAAGCCTGCGACCGCATGGGTCGCCCGGTGACCGTCGGGGCCGAGTTGCCGGACTATGCGGCCGCCGCGGGGTTTCGCAACATCCACCACCGCGTGTACCCCTTGCCGCTGGGGCCCTGGCCCATGAATAAGCGGATGGTACGACCCTACGAGCGTGCAATAAAACAAATCTAATTGAAGTAGAAAGAAACGGGCGCTCTCAATATGATTCAGTTCCTAGAAGGTCTTGAAGCGTTCAGCGTGGCAACATTCACTCATATCCTGGGATGGAGTCCAGAGGCCGTGCAGCTGTTTCTGGCAGAGGTACGGGCGGATGCGATGCGGAAGGATGTCCATATGATGCATAATTTGTATGTTTTCCTTCTTCTTCTTTTACTGTGTTTCTCTTGACTCCTTCCCCGTTTCCTCGTTTTACCATTCTCTTCTCTTCTTGTCCCCCTTCCCCTTTCTCCAAGTTCTGTGGGAGTATATTACTGACAGTGTATTATAGTCACGTAGTCTATGCTCAAAAGCTATAACGATCCTCGTTATGGTCGCTCCGAGGGAAAGAACGAGGACAATGTACATTACACACGCAGCCTTGTTGATTGCGCCGAGGTGAATGGGGCCTTTGATTATATTTACCTGACCCATACAAGCTATACATCGCCAAGTACAGCTAACCTTAAATTTCGGTGTAGAAAGTTTATTCGGGAGTTTAAAGTGACGATCGCTCTTCCTCGCTGCCTTACTGCTTGTCACCCACATCATCCTCCACCCTCTCCTGGGTTTATCACACATAAACGCGCCTTGCTAATCGGCTGGGTTGACGAGCTTATTGGTAACAAGTCACCGATGCAGATGAAACCAATTTTCGACGTGGACTCTGTTACTCCACGTCTAAGGCATGGCATGTATTGTTGCGCATGCTACATGTTTCCCCACTTGCTATTGTGTTTGCTTGTTTTATTTTTTGTTTTTTTCCCTTCAACGATTCACCGTACCAGCCAATTTAGTCAATAAGGGAGAAAGGCGCTCAATCCGCTGGAACCACATCACCCAAATTACCATGTAACTCAGGGACTTGACACCATATACTTTGTTTCAGTCTCTTCCCGTATCAAGAAAATGCATCAGTTCAATGAAGTGTACGAGTCAACTCCTATCTACATATTAGGTCTGCGGCGCAACGAGTACACAGTAGTGTAGACGCGCAGATGTGTGAAGTGGACACCGATCGGGGATTAAGCGGGATTGAGGGAGGGGCTGCATTCAGCTTATCAGCGTGCGTGGTGACTAGTGTACGGCGGTTAATAGCGGCCATCCTGTAAATGCAATTTTTTGGTGTTTACTGCTGGTAGAATCAATATAAGTCTATTGGATCGGTTAATCTTACCTAATAAAGCTATATATAATTATAACTTGCTTAGCTTTATTATCTAAATAGTTACTAGTCTTAAATACTATGTAGAGGTGTAAGTCTTGCTTAGGTATTGTATACAGGGCTTGTATAATTGGGAGTGCTGGTAGACTGGTTATTCTTAACCGTCCAGGTTAAATACTGAACTTTTAGAATAGGTATTAGTTAGGGAATTGTAATGAAATTATCTGTTTTAAAATTGTATTTAGATATAGGTCTGTATTAAATTTATAAATTACATTTAGAATACCATGCAATACAGTGACCTGTATTTAATACGGTATTAATCATTTTGAGGCCCTTTTTCTTAGTGATTTCTTAACCGTTGTGTATTATACGGTAATATCAGTGTATTACATAATTAAATTATGTAATCTTCAAAAATGGATTGCTCATATATATAAATTACATAATAATAATATTTTATATATTTTTATTAATTTATAATATCTATACCTGACCATTGTATTTTAACCTGTATCAAGCAAAACGGTTAACCGAACGGTTAGAAATATCCACTCTAGAGATGGATATATGACAGAGACGTTATTGATATATGGATCTGTAGTATGAGGCCTAGTGATTGTGTATATTCTGTTACCCAGCTGAAGAGTTAATAGGCTCCATACCATAATGGTGATCGGTAAAATGGAATTTTGATTGCTTTGAGAATTGAACTATTTAGCCTTTCAACATGGAATGATGTGGCCCAAGTACGGCTGTACGCATAAGCAAAGGTAGGGGAAAGATTAACTTTCTAACTACTATGATCCTACGTCCTCAATACCCCCCAACAATGGTATACACGGAGGGTACAGCAGCTAAATCCCTCAACCGGATACGGCATTATCTTCATCGGGATACCCAACATCAGCCCGGCTGACCAGACCAGACACAGCCTACCCCCGGACCAAATTGACTCCTCGTATCGGAGAGACAACACTGATCACTGCCCGAACCGGGCTCGACTTCCCCGCAGCCGAACCGCCGGAATTGCCATGTTGGGATGGCTCGGGACTGTGCCAGTGGGGGAATCCCGGAGTGGCCGCGCAACGTGGGGTTTATCCGGGGAAGCCCTTAGCCGGGTCATGCGGGGTGAGACTTGACTTGATCGTCTGTGATGATGATGGACGATTGTGGGTGCTTTAGCATTTACCGGATGATTGAGATAACCAGGGAATTACAGTTCAGTCGGTTGCCTAGGTAGAGAACTTCAAAATGGTATCCCAACCTATTCACACCAAATAGTCCGAAGCCTATCCATAAGACATTATCATTGCATATCTCCTATCCCATCACATCCACCACAATTATGTTCACCTCCGTAAATGCCTACCTCGCACAATACCCCCCATCAACCACAATATCCGACCCAGTCGTATAACTACTCGCCTCACTAACCAAATACACATACAACCCCTTCAACTCCTTCGCGACCCCCTCCCTCCCCATCGGAATCAACCCCATCCACAACTCCCTCATCCTGGGATCAATAAAATCCGACAACCCGGTATCAATATACCCGGGCGAGACCGAATTCACCCTCGCAAACCCCCTCCACTCATTCGCCAACGACCTTGCCAAATTCACACATCCCACTTTCGCCACATTATAACTCGTCTGCTCCTGGGGAAGTTTACCTGCCCCTCCATGATAGACCTCCCCCACCATGCAACTTTGAGGTATATAAAGCAGTACACACGACTCGATCAGAGTGTCAATCAATCAATCATCATCATCATCATTCAGCAGCACAATGGAGGTGAGTACTCTATCTTCTAAACGACTTATCTAACAGTGTAGAACCCCTCATTCGTCTTGCGCGACATCAAGGACGTGGTCATCGAGGACGTGGTCATCGAGGACCGCCCTAAACCTGTTCTCTCGGACCCCCACGACGTGGTCGTTCATTGTGGCTCAGACGGGTATCTGCGGGGGTGCAGTAGATTAGATGCTGAGAATAGGTGCAGTTTATGTGTTTACCCAGTTTGATGATATTGATGCAACATTGAATGCTAGTATATGAATGGAGAGTGACAGTCTATGATCTATTTACATCATGGTACAAGGGGAGGGCGTGTTAAGCGAGAAGCTAATCCAACTTGCGGAATCCCAAGGTCTCCCAATTCGCGCGGACCTTCTCCTTGAGGGCCTCCGGGTACGAGTGCTCAAAGTCGGCGGCCTCCCAGTCGGCTCCGGTGGTGTACTCGGTCGGCATGAGGGCATCGGAAACCACCTTCCCGCCCTTGTTCGGCCGCCCGGTGCCGTGCGACATGTACGGGATAAGCGGGAAGCCACGGACCTCCTCGAAGAAGGTCTCATCAGCATTAGGCCGGCACCGGGTCGAGAACGCCCACATGACATCCTTGCCATTGTACACATCGATATCATCGCCCACCAACACCAACCGATGGATCGTATATCCCGCCTTGTGCGCAAACACCACATCACCGACCTGCTTCTGGAAATCCTTCGGGGCGATCTTCATCGCGCGCAGCTTGGCCGTGTCCACCTTCAACGCCACCCAAGTGACCTGGGACTCGAACGGAGAGAAAGCATCCGTGATGGGCAGTCCGGCATTCTGGCAGACCTTGCGGATCTCCGCGGCCGCCAGGGCACCGATCATGGTGTGAGTCTCATCGGTCAGACGGCCACAGGCAGACATGGGCATGATCGGGTTGGTCCGGTAGGTGATCTTGTGGACGGTGTAGACGGGCCACTGGTGGGTATCACCCGGGAAGACATAGCCGTGCATCTCGCCGAACGGGCCCTCGTTGGCGGTTTCGCTGATGGAGAGGGTACCTTCCATGACGATCTCGGCGTTGGCAGGGACATGCAGGTTGTTGGTGTCGCATTTGACCAGTTCCAGGGGCCGACCGGTCATGGCGCCGACGTAATCCGCCTCGGTGACGCCGTCGGGGATGGGCATGGAAGAGGCCATGATGGCCGCCGGAGGCACACCGAAGCAGAGCGCCCATGGGACGTCACGGCCCTCCTTCTTCCACATCTGGTGGATCTGCCAGAGGTGTTGGGGCTCGATGACCAGACCGGTGAGGTGGTTGCGGTCCTTGACCATGGCGCGGGCGATGGACCAGTTCGTCCAGGAGCCGTCGGGGGACTGGACGACGTGCATGCCGTAGGTTTGGATGTATTTGCCGCCATCGGACTGGTGGATCATGGGGACGGGGAGGGCGGTCAGGTCGATTTCATCGCCGGTGAGGGAGTTCTCCTTGACGGGACCGGTGGGAACGATGGTGGGAGGGATCGGGGGGAGGGTGCTGGCAGAGAGCATCTTGTCGAGGATTTCCTTCATGCTGGCGGTGGGAGGGAGGGCCAGATGGCGGGCGAGACGGCCATAGCGGTCTTTCTTGGAGGCGCGGAGGGAGCCGGGGGCACCGAGGATGCGGAAGAGGCCTTTCTGGCCCATGCCCTTGAGGTTGTTGAACAGGGGAGCTTTGTCGTCGGTCTCGCAGACCAGACGGGTGATGGCGGCGGCCTCGAGATGAGGGTCGATCTCGGTGTTGATTTCGACCAGGTCATTGTCGGCGCGGAGGGCCTCGACAAAGGCGCGGAAGGAGTGGTCCACGCTGAAGGAAGAGTGATCAGTCATGATGATTGCTTGGCTTGCTGGAGGTGATGGTGAAGTGGGCTGATGTGTGATGAGCCTTGAGGAGGGGAGCCTGCCTTTATACCCGCTGGATGATTCGGATCAGTACCGTTCATTACTGAGACAATCGAGGCATCGGCCTCACCCAGCGGATGGACGGCTCGTTACTCTCGGGACCTCGGAGGTTCGGAGCAGTTCTTTGGTTCGGACCCATTCGATGATCATCATTGAACCTTGATCCGCGATAATCCGAGATAACACGAGTTGCAGCTTGCTAGCAACCGTAATGTGTCAATTGGCATGTTTATGGGTGGGTGTAGGGTGATTGATGCAGTGGCTGCATGGTACAAACATGCGTTGAGTGGTAGTATGCAATACTCGAGGGCAATCTGATCACGCCTGTCTTTACTTTGCAGCTCCAGTCATGCTTAGCTCAATCATGAATCACAACCGTGTCCTTCATGCCAGCTAGTTGTATTATCAAGATTTTCAGTGCATCATTGCCAATGTAAAAGCCGTTTCCGTCTAGGGATTACACGAAGCGGGATATCAATGGCCTGCGCAATTGCAATTAGTTTCTTGCTGGAGGGGATCCTTCCGTGAATGGTCTAGGCAGTTCTCCACCTACCTATGGGGTACATCTGAGCGCCACACAGCGAGCTACTGGTCGACTACATAGTAAAATCAAACCGATGTGGCCGATGGTCAGTGCTGCATGTCAGTGATGTCACCTGCAGCTGATTCTTACAACCGCTCTATTTCTGGATGTCGGAGTTAATTGTCAGTGATTCGCGAGATAGGAATAAAACAGATTGACGATATCAATACCGTCTGTTTCGTATTCAGACAGCTTTGTCATTTCGTGGGTTCCGCAAGTCTCGTGGGGTGATTAGTTTTTGTTGGAATCTGAGATGAAGTGGACCACATTACTAGGAATACCTTTTTTATTCTAACCAGGAGAATATCTACAATGGAATCAGAATATCTGATGGGATTGATATGGCGATAGCTCTTCTCCCTTATTGTGGGTGATTCAAGAACGTTAAGTGGCAAGGATGGCCTGAGGCATACATAGCGCGACGCGTCGTTGTCATTCCGCTGGTACAGACAACAAGAATTCCAACGAATCTTACTGATCAATTTAGCTTTCAGTTAAAATGTACACAGAGAAATAAGATACACGGCGGTGAATCATGACTGTGCAAGCCATCTTAGATTACAATGAACTCATCCAAGCAAGTAAGGCTTCCGACTAAGCAAACGGACAGCTGGCATCCGAAGCCGCCACACCCAGAGTGGTGGTGACCGTCTGGATAATCACATCCGGGGTGCCCGTCGGAATCGAAGTCACGCTAGCCACCGCGGGGACAGACTCCGGCACATCGGTCGGCGTCGGGACCTTGTCCAGGGTCACAGGGTGGGAATAGTCTGAACACCAACCAATAGTCTTAGGCACGATTCCAGGCTTGACGGAGCGCGAGGGAGTGGTGGAGGGTGAAGGAGTCGGAAGGAGATGGGTGGAGTGGTGGTGGTGGTGGTGGTGGTGGAATAAAGGAGTGCTGGACGCGGTAGGGCTCACCGTGACAAAAACGGTCGAGGGGGCCCCGCAGGTGGAGGCGGAGGCAGCAGCAGCAGTAGCAGGCGTATCCACACAGGCAGTCTGGTTGATCGCCTCCGACACGGTGAACTTGTCGCTCTGCGCGTAGATGATGTAGACGTTGGTGCCGTTGATGCCGCTGATCTGGTAGCCCCATTCCGGGGTGGTGTCGCAGGGGATGTGCACCGGGTAGGAGAGATCGGCGGTGGGGATGTCGATCGCCAGGGGCACGTAGGTCGGGGGCCAGTACACAAAGTTCCAAAGGTAAAGACTGAAGTAGGTGGGATCGGTGTCGACGGTGGTCCAGTTGACGGTGACGGTGGAACCCGCGGGGTAGGATGCATTCAACGCCGGCTGGGTGATGCTGATGGCCGAGGCGAGCGACGCCAGGGCGAGAACCAGGAGATGCATGTTTGCAGGATGGGAAAGATTGTGGAAGTGAAAATCAAATGAAGGTAGAATGAAAATGCGAAGAATAGTACAGAGGGTCTGTAGAAATCAAACGAGTGACTGAGTTAGAAAGGAGTGACGACCGTGGAACTGGAGCAGCAACGGGGGGGGGCAGCAGAGCAGCAGCAGAGCAGCAGCAGGGCGTGAGGATTAAGTAGGATCCTTGGCTCATCTCCGGTTCGTGTCACCGCATAAAAATAGCGCCATGCGACCGACTAGCAGCAGCCGCCGTTAAGATACGCCCGTCCGTGATTGGCCGGGTTTAAGACTGATCCGCTAGTGCCTGGTTGACTTTAATGGTTCTGAGACCTGGGAAATGGGATCGATCAGTTCGCTGGGCACGGGCCGGCTGGAAGGCTGACCCATCTGGGGATCCATGTGGACCTTGACTCCGATGTAACCCAATCCATTCCTAGTCTCCTGCGGTGTGCAGCCTAGATTAGCTTGCGTCAATCTGTACAGATTACGAGTAATTTCATAGATCTTCCCGACCGAGACGATTGTGACCTCGTGTCATCCGTTGATTGCGATCGGAGAATCCCCGTCGCCGCCGCAGTCCCACCCCAGTGGAACATGTTTCGGCAGCGCCGTGTCGCCACCAATTATGACAGTACCCTTTGATGAGGTCTGTCATAGGAATGGACCGAATTTTCTGGTCGATTTAATGACAGTAGATAGGGGTCCTTGGAGGTATCACGCGCAGCCGATGGTAAACCATATAATAAACTTTGCTAGGGGACGGAAGAACGGCACGCCCTGAAAGGCAGCGGGGGTTCCTACCCCGGTTTAACCTCCCACCGGTCGGTTCAGGAGTGAGGGTGAGTGCACAAGCAGCCCGCCAGGCTTAAGGCTGTTTCGTCGCACGACTGTACGAAGACAACGGATCGGGGAGGATGACCGGCTAGTGGGTCCCGCGCATGCAACAGGTCACGCATCATCCGCTGTCGCAGTTGAAAGATACCCAGGAAGGAATCATGCAGCATCGAGGAAATCTGAGTGTCTCCTAGTAGAAGTTGATTCGATTTAGCTATGCATGGTTCCACCCTATCGCCCTTTCCATTGCTGGCGATTATATGCCTGCGCGGTTAACGGAATTGGAACAGATGGGTATACGTACTACGGTACGTGGCTCGGCATCTCTCCCCTCCACCCTATGTGATATCTGACAGGCCACAGTGGGGATAACTAATGACACGCGGCATTCGGCAGACAGCCGACACGACATTAACCATAATGCAGCAGCCCTGGTTCTCGACAGCAACGGCATGTTCTACCCTGCTATCACCCCTGAATCTGCCGTGATCAGAGTGCTCGTCGCTGGGATTCTCCCCTACTCACAAGGTATCAACAAGGGTAATTACGAGCTGACTCTATCAGGGCCTGGCAGTGCGGCATCGGGCGATCGTTGGGGTCGGTGCGAATTCACCAAGCTGGGGCCCTGCCGCTATGTTGGGCATACCCGCCTGCAACGCATGATGGGGATCGAATGTCGCGAATTGACGTACGCGGAATGCTTGATTGCTCGAGAATGGCTTTTCTTGGACAAGAGGTGACTGCTTAGTTGCCTTGCGACGGGTTATGCATGTGAGCTGAACGGTCCAGTGGATATGGCCGTTCAGCTGGTGTTATTGGGGGATTACATCTGGTCCATCAGTCCCGTTATCGGTTCATTCGGGGTCGGCCATGCAGACTGCTCCGGTGATAGGGCGACAGTCCTTACCATGGGCTGGAATAGTGAGGTCGTGGAGAGACTCCGATCGTTCCTGCCCGTAGTATTGGAAGGATTGTATCTAGACAGTTCGCACAATGACCTGCAGAAGTCAATATTTTAGCGCGATCGGGCCCACTGGATGTGTCCTCCGCATCCACCACGTCAAGAGGAGATTTTGTCGATGGAGCATTCGGGCAGTCCTGATCGCAGGTCAAAATAGAACCTGGCAATTTTGTCGCTGGCGGTGATGCATCGGAATATGACAATTCGCGGGTAGTGGCTGGATGGTGCGAAAAGATCCTGCAATGACCAGATGGTGGAGTGGGGTGTTGAAACTGGGCGGGAGGCTGGCAGTCGGAGGGTGGGATATTTTCCCGGGGAGCAATGGCAGCGCGGCTTGGCTTGGAGAACGGGTGGATTTCTTGCCGTAGACTAGCGATGGTCTCGTGACTAGTGGTGATCCTTGAGGCTTGAAAGTCTGTTGGGATGTGCAGGACTAATCTTGGACAAGATAATAATTGTCATTGGCCATGATTGGCAAAAAAAAGTGCCGAAACCGAACGAGAGAAACCGGCTGTTCGGGTCGGGGCCTCGGAGGCTCGGCATGGAGCCACGAGGTTGCCCGGTGGACGCGGTCTCGTTCTCATCTCGGAAAACATGG